AGATGAGAACAACACATCATCAGTATCCCAGCAGGAGCTGCGGACTGGCTGCAGTGTGCACCTTCGCTGTTGGCTATATTTTATGGTAAGGGCTGTACATGCTGTGTTTTCATATTGTATTGGGGGTTTTGTACTGCTAAATTTGGGCACATATTTCATTATGGATATAATCGCTAACAGATTCACGCTGCATGCCTCGTTTGGTCCAAGACCTGGGCTTTGTCTGGTTTCCCCAGATGCTTATATTTTTAGAAAGTATATGCCAAACCTCACACAACAGGAATTTGTTGAACAATCCCATGTAAGCAGTGGTCTTTCCAAGGGTACATTTTTCGACCTTTTTTTTTCAGGCTAAATGTTTTTCTTGGACCTTCGTTTTATTGCTTAGGGGTTTTGTTCTATCAAATAAAATCGAGAATAGGCAAATGATTTCCTGCATCGGTATTTACGCGGCAACAGAAAAGATAGAACGCTGTCTTTTTTCTTTACTAGTTCATAAATTCTTCCTGTAAAATTGATTGCAGAATAACCTAGTAATCCAAACACTCTGGAGTTTATTTTAAAAAATGCAAATGTTTGTGAAAAACTAAACAGCAATAACCTTTTCTATGCAACATTAAATTCTGTCTTTGGGCGGTTTCTATTCAAGCACCTGACTTATATGATGGAGTTAATTTACTTTGGTCATTCTGGCATTTTACTTTTCACTAAGCCTTTGTTTTGCTAACAGTGCTCCTTTGATACCATATATCCTCTATCCCTTCTGCAAGCATTTCATGACCTCCTGTTTACTTCTTCTCACATCACAACAACCCTCAGCTCAGAAGATGTTTTCCAAAACTACGGATAATACTGCTTTTACCACCAGTCAAGTGAGATCAAACTAATGAGAGAGGAACACAGGCTCAAGGCAGTACTGTAATACTGCTTCAGCCATGCTATTTTTCCCTTCGGTCCAATGAAAGAGAAGCCATTATTCATGTACATCGACGCACATCAAGTGATCGTAAAACGACTGTGATCCAGCTGAAGTGGGATGCTGTGTCCCAGGATGCTACTCATATTCTGCCACTTACTTTTATAAGCATGCATATATTTGTTAAGCTAGACTAATATTTTCAATTTAAGATAAGAACAGTCTCATGCACAGAGGCACATAATGATTTCTTGAGGAGAAAGGAACTTCTTTTAACACTTACATGCTAATAAGTAACTGTGCTATTTATTTACCACCTTCCTCTGAAGTTGCCTAGACACAAGATAGCAGAGTTACTGTACCCATGATCTGACCTAGTATGGCAGTGACAGTTTTCCTCATGATCGTCTGAGTAGACACATGGAAAAATGTTCAATAGAAATAGAAAAAATGAAGCAATCTAGTTCTGCAAATGAAATAAAAACAGAGGTGTCTTAAATTCTTTTAAGAAGCTGTTACAGTATCAGTGTGATTCTCATATGGCTTGATCCTGCCTACTACGGTGCATCTGAGCCCTACAGCTATAAGTACAATGTAAAAGGAAATTGTAGGACAAATAAAGCAGAGGAAAAAGGTTCTGCATTAAGAAATTAACCACTAGGCAGATATTTGGTTACAGGCTACTGTCATCTTCCTTTGCTTTTGCTGTTTAAGGATAGGCCTATTCCCAAGTGACTCACCTTTTGAGTTGTGATTCTGCAGAAGATGATATGAGACAATTGCTTATTCTACCTAATGGTAGCCCTGCTAAAATCTGCACTTGCAGTCCATTACTCAATCCATTTTTATGAAAAGAAGTCTTTGGGAAGGCGAGAGGGACACACAGGTTGTACCATGCCATCACCTGCAAGTTCTGCATCTGCAGCCTGCAGCTGTTTTTGAAGCCTCTATCCAAGATTTGGCTGAGGCTGCAGGGTAAATCATGATACAATTATACCAATACAGTGTATTTAATGTTCACAGAATGAGGAATAGAAGTATGAAAAGTGTATTTTTCTCATCCATCTTACTCAAGGGTGCGTGCTTTTCACAGCTAAGGTTCACTGTCTTCCTACTGCTAGGTAAGCACATTGAAGTACTGTCTGTGATCACTTAGAGAATTTGTAATGATATCATTAGGATTTGCTGCTCCTGTACACTTTAGCCCCCTCAAGGTTACCACAGTGCATTAAAATGAGATGACACCTGCAAATGACCTAGTTACATCCAGCCTTTTGGAACTTCCTTCCTTTCTATCTTTGGTTGTCTGTGGGTCCCCTGCTGGTGCATAGTTCTTGTTGTTTTTGTTTTTTGTTTTTTTACCTTGAAGCCAGGTATCTGCTGCTTGAGCATTAGAGTCCTTCTCCCTATGTCATTGTTTCCTCAGCAGAATTGTGTATAAAATGTAGGCCGTTGCTAATCAGATGTTCTGGTTTTTACCTGTGAATTTTGAAGTCTCCCTACCTCATCTGAAACCTTCTTACCATGCTGCGTGATTTATCAAGTCTCACTTTTACTCTAAAGGAGCACAAATTGTTTAGTTTAGGCTCTGTTAATTCATTTTTCAACTACAGGTAGAGAAGATCTTCTGACTTGCTTCATATGTGGCTGAATCTTTCACATATGGAAGGGATGATGGAATAGGGAGCTTTTATTATATGTATGTGATAAATGATAAAGTGGGAAAAAAATCTGAATAGAATCACCAAAGTTAGAAGAATATAGCTAAATAACTTTTTATCCTCTAAGCATTTTTCAGAGAAGTAATTTGAATCACAGAATCACACAGAATCACAGAATTTCTAGGTTGGAAGAGACCTCTAGATCATAGAGTCCAACCTCTGACCTAACACTAACAAGTCCTCCACTAAACCATATCACTGAGCTCTACATCTAAATGTCTTTTAAAGACCTTCAGGGATGGTGACTCAACCACTTGAGAAACATCCTGAAGAATTAAAAAAAAATTATTTATTTTTTTAAAATTTATGTTTTCATTCTCTCTCTTCAATCAGGAGAGCATTTGGTAGGCACACTTAGCTCATGTACTGCCTGTGGAGGGAGAGCTCTGCCTTGATCTTAAGGAACTGTGCTCAGGCACAGCATTCACAGATTTGCGTTGCCTGTTGCACACCATACATGGACTTTCAGGATCAAGGCCATGGGTTAGGTTGGGAAAGGCCAATTGGCTTTATTTAACATGGCTTGAAAAGGTCACAATTTGTATTGAATTGTTAAATCTAGACAGTGCTAAGAAAACCCAAGAGCTTGCCAGTACTACCAGAAAATACTGCCAATGGGAGCATGGAGTTGGTTGTCAAGGAACAGAAAAGAGCCAGAAATGTGTTGCTCCTTGTAATAAGAATGACCTCATGGCAACTAATATCAGAGCCTAATATGTCCCTAAAATAAACCGAGACGAATACATTTATTTAAAATAGCTTTCTTGTTCCCTCTGCTTTTGAGTACTTGAGGATTCCAGACAATCAGATCCTAAGAATCTGATTCCACTGCTGTAGTCATGCAGGGCTACGTGTTTGGGAGCAAAAGGCTTGATCTGCTCTCTCGTTGCTATCTTAAATCTGCTGGAAGTTCTCTCCGCAAGTGCCAGGCTTGGACTCGATTCATAAATCTATTAAGCTGATAAATCTGCTTCCATAACTCAGGTACCTTTAAACTTTCATTTGAAAATAAAGTTTGACTTTAAGTGACTTTAGGAGAGTTCTGTAGATGTGCTGAGGGAAAGTATTTAGATGGTGTAATTTGCTGAATTCTTCTCAAGTGAATTTAAGAAAGGAATGTACGCGCCGAGAATTTGGAATGAATTTGAGATAGCTGCTGTCAGCCTTGCTGTAGGATTTCCACTAGCGGTTCTCCATAGAAGGAGAGGAAGATCAGAAAGAGCATATGTTGGCAAAAGGATGGGGGCTGCTAGGGCAAACCTTGAAATTGAGAAGGAAAGGGTGAAGCTTGGTGAGAATTGGCAGCCATATTTACATGTATTAAGAAGGCAGGATTCAGAAACCAGAAGGTAGTGATAGATACAGATGGAGCAGGAGATACAGCATGACTGTGCTAGGGTCTGTTGTGTGTCCGTATGTCAGGAGAGGGCCATAAATGCTTTTGGGAGTGAGCGCTGGGGAGAGAAATTCAGGAGGGATCAGAGGAATCAGTGGTTGGGGAAAACCAAGTGAAAAATCCTTGAGGCAAGTGAAAGAGATGAACCACCAGTGAAGAGAACATGGGTAAGGAAATGTGCAGCTCACAGGTCAGCAGCTTGAAAGCTGAAATTGTGCAAGGAAGTGGGAAAAGCTTGGAGGGGAAGAGAGAGACGGGCTTTGAAATTGGGGTGGAAGGCTGACAGAGAGGTGGGTGATAGATGCGACAATGCAGAGGAGGAGAAAAGAGTTGGAGCCAGGACTACTCAGAACAGGAAAGAGTAGGAAGAAGTAGAAGCAGCAGAAATAGGCCAGGAGAAGATTAGCATCCCCTGTGCTTGACCCAGAAGAAGGGTGGAAGAGCAGAAGTGCTTTCAGCAAGAGAAGTCTGCACAGATCCTCAGCCCATTAAGTCTGACGTGGCCATTATGGACTGTTACTTTCTGGCTCCCCTCCACCTCCACATCCTCAAGTGTTTCAGTCAAAGCAACAGTACAATCACAGATGACATGCATAGATAATACATTCTCACTTGCTTGTGTAGCTCCTTAAAATGTAGCTCAAGAAAGCATAGCAACCATTTCTATATTTAAAATTAAATATTTATCAAAATAGATGACTTCCAAATCCTGCAGAGTTTCTGTCATTCTAGCTACCTGTACGTAAACAAAAATTTCTGCTAAGCTTTGTTCATCCCAAAGGATGACAGCACTGTGTCATGCTGACTATGTTCTGCATGACATTACTGTGTGACATTTTTTGCAGCTGCAGTTTTCTGGGATTTGTCCTCTGACTACATCAGCCATTCCATACCAGGAGGACAGTGCTATGACTCTCGTATTGTTCAGCAGCAGTCAGATCAGTGGAGAAGAATCCAGCATAAGAAATTGGAAAATAGGAAATTAGTGCTTTTATTTCTTGATGGCTGTTTATTGAATTTATTTTTTAGTATGTAAAATTTCTAAACATTACACATTCCTACTGTAGGTGGCTTACACCTGTTTGGCTGGCATTGTAAAGATCCCAACATCTTAGGATAGATGAGAACCTAACAGTTCTGATGAGATGCAGAATAAGCTGCCCGATGTTTTTGGAAGAAAAAATCATAAAGATTGATGAAAATGTCCCTCACATCACTTCAGTCAGTATTAGAAACCAAAAGTAGAACAGATTTAGTGTGGGTCATTGTGCTCCTGCCTCTGAAAGCACAGGGTTGGTCCCTCGTCTGTAACCACAAATGATTTGTTCGTTTGAGTTTTGAATGACTCAGCTGCTGTAAGCCCGTCACCTCCTCTGGGAGACATTCCACAATTTAATAGTTCTGGGTAAAGTTCTCCCTTTCTGTGGAGAAGGAGAGTGACGCTAGGAAAGATCATGAAATAAAAGTGTAGAAAGTGCCCACGTTCTGTCATTTGATAAATTGTAGCCACGACGGGAACTAGCTTGGGATCTGTTTGGGGGCAGAGACTCAGCCGTCCCTTTGTGCCAGTCACTGGAAACCAGAACAGCACAGAAGGTGTGGGAGAGGATCTGCTTCTGCACTGCTGCAAGAAGTGACCAGGAGGGAATTACTGAGTGGTCACTTATCAAGACTATGACTGTTCCTAATATCGGATGCTTCAGAGGAAGATTCAGCAGGCCATTTTGGAATGACCAGCCTGTAAGGAAAGCTTTCTTCCATAATCCACATCAAAAACTGGATGCTTGGTTCCTGCAGACTTGATAGTTTATACACCATGTACTCTTTGAACTTAAGCATAATTTTGCACATTCTTACTGCTCGTACAGTCTCCTGACTTCAGAAGCTTCCTAGAGTCGCATGATACTGCCCAGAGAAGAGGAGTGAGTTAAATGGAAACATGACATCCTTCCAAACTTGTATGCTTTTTTTTTTAATATCATGAGCTCAGTGATATGCCGCTGCAAGATAGGGTGGACCATTCCAGAGGTTAAAACACTTAGTTTTCAATCTCATGTAGCCATGTCCCCATCATGAAGGAGCAACTGCTTTCTGCAGCTTGGCTCCCACTGCAAAACCTTTCAGTTGCCATGGTCATCTACCGTGATATCCACCTACTGAGCTTGCTCGTACCAGGACTACATTTCACACAAGGTTCCCACAATTGTTTGAAGTAGTTGCTTTTCTTCATCAACAAAGAATCTGTAGCCAAAGAAATGTATGTGTATCCTCTCTGCATGATTTTCATCTTCTCAGACAGACTTACTGCTGGAAAAACAGCAAACAGGAAGACTCATTACTTTGATAGGTGAGATATACAACATCCACTGTATACCAAAAGTGAAAAACAGCTACAAAGTCAATGCTTTTTGACAGATATTTTAAAAAGAAGAATAGTGTGTGTTTTCAAATAACTTTCTCTGTTTTCTACACCATCTGGTTGAAAATTTCCCCAAATCACCACTTTTTTTAACATACATTTTAATTTGAATACAATGTGGGAATATCTCCATTCCTTTTTGCCTTACCAGTTCTAACAAGTGGAAAAAAATGAGCTCTATCACCTGTAGCATATTCGTCTTTGAAAACACATGGTTGCATCTACATGGGCTGCCACAGAACCAAAACACAGTGAGGTTCTAAGTTAATTTTATCTTCTCAGAAGTAATCAGCCCAGTTTTAGCTTAAACTTTTTCTCATCAATATATTTTTATCTAAACAACCCACTTTTTCATACCTGTTCAATAACAGGGTCTTAAATTGGATCTAGGTTTGCACTCCTAAGTAAATCTTAATGCATGCTCCCCTGTGCTCATCTAATAATGAGGTTGGCCAGGAATAATGACTACTGGAATTGCAATGTTAAAGGCATTCATTAACATTAGTAATCAGCAATCTTGTATGGAGGCTTTATGCCTCTGGTTGATCAGCTCTTTATTGTGCAGCGTTGAGTTAGCTTGCATTCAAGCAGGAGCGAGCCCGCTAAGAAAGGCCATCAGGTGAGGTTTCCATGGTAGCAATCATCCTCTTGCTGCTGCCATTTGTGGTGCAGGCAACGCAGGAGCAACCGGCGTGTCAGTGCTTGGTGGAGAGGAGGCTAACGCCACTCCATCAAAACGCAGTGAGCAGGGCAGATCCGGGTGGCTGATCAGGTGAGTCGGTGGCAGTCATCTCCTCAGTGGCACTCGGTACCTCCTGTCCTCAGAGCACCAGCTCCTGCATTGTCACAGCCCCGGGGACAGATGTACAGCAGGTAGGTTGAACACACGAGCGGTGTCACCAAACAAATAACGGGCTACTGTTCTGGGCAGAGAAGGACAGAGTTCATAAAATGTACTCGAAGATTCTGAACTAACCAGACACAGCTGACATTTGTGAGCTCATCGGTGACTCATTGGTCAGATTGAGAAAATATTTCTTCTTTCCAGCATAAATGCGTTCTAGTAAATGTCACTTCTGCTTGGTTCATGAACTTGGGTACATAGGTGCCGTTTAGAACATCCCTCGAAAAGTCCTTCTGTAAAGGTCCTTGTACTGATGGACAGTTTCATCATGCCAGAGAAAAGTGAAAAAGAGACACTGGCTTTTTTCTTTTTTTTTTTCATCAGAGCTTGTTTTTCACAAAATGATCATAAAACAAAAGTAAATGAACCAAAAAATGCTGGGCAATAATAGACGCTTCCTCCTAAGCCAACCTGAGAGTAAAGGACACCCCATACCCTTCTACCAACAATCCCATCCTTTTTGTTGACCAAGTGGAACAAGGTATCCCCTGTTACCATGGATTACACAGTAACCCTTTATTTTTTCACAGTTACCTTTATCTTGTCAGCTCAGTTCTGGTACAGAACAAAGTTTGGAAAGTAACTGTAAAGTATAGAGATCATTTTCCATATGTGAACTCCTTTGGAGAAAGTGTTTTTAGTCTGCATTTAGATCATGCAGATTAATTTACCAACACATGTAAATTCCTACATGAAGTGTGCAACTGCTGAAGGCTTGGCTGTAATAAAAGCTTTTCTAAGGAGGAGGGAAGCTATGACAACCATGAACATTTCCAGGGTGAGGGAGAATCATTAAACAAGGATGCTGTACTCCCTGTGTGACAGGCATTTATTACAGTGTTTTTGAGTAGACTTTTGTGTTTCTGTTCTTGGGGAGCCTGTGACTGTTGACGTAGTGATCAAAAGTCTTCCTTAAACAAACAGAAGTATCAGCAAGTGAAGCAGATAATATGGACATGGAAATCCCCATCAGTAATTGTGTCTGTGACTGCTTAGTCTTCGCTCTAGCTGTGCTTCGCTGTATGCTTCTCTCTCAAATTGCAGGATCAGAGAGGAAAAGATCTACATTCTTACAGAGAGCCCAGCAGCTCACAGGCCCCAGTCTAGTCTCTGCTGAGCCTTTTCCCAGTTAGCCTCTGTGATGTTTGCTAAGAGTTTTGGCAGCATTTCCCTTTCTTAGGTTCCAGCTACTGGAATGTATGGACTCCATCTGCTCCCTTCTGACTTCACTGTTTCAGATCTCAGTGCAACAGCTCTCCTTTCAGAGAGTGCAGGTGCCCATTGCAGGCACACACAGAGAAGCCACGTACCTGGAGGGGTTCTTTGGGCTGCATTGCAGTAGAGCTGACACACTGTCTCTTGGGTTAGTGTACCGATGATCTCCGCTGTGGCTGAATGCTAAAAATCTCTGTGACACCAGTGAGTCACCATTGTTCCTTTTCCTTTATTGAGTGCAGTCGGCAGAACTTCACTGATGACAGGGTTTCTTCTTTTTTTTTTTTTAATGTTTGTTCCACCTAGAGAAAAATCATTAGATCCAAATGATAACAGGTAGCTGAAAGGAAAAGAGGAGCAGCCTAAAACACAGGTGCTGAAAGGTTGTTGTTTTAAAGAGAAGCTCACCCATGTGTTTCTGGCAAACCCAGAAACCGAGCCACTTGCCAGGTGTGAAGAGGAAAAGCAGCAGACACACACAAATGTATACAAAATAAAACAAAGATGCTCCAGAAAGCCAAGAGTCAGGCTGTGTAGGAGAGCCTCAAGAACACGGAATGCCACTTGGAAAAAGAACTTGCTTGGAACTGAGGGAGTGCTGCGCTTTCCATGCTACTCTATAAAACAGGAGGGTATATTCCTTGTAATTATAAAGGCAGCAAGGAAATGCCTGCCTACATCAAAACCTGAAAACTGGTCAAGTGCTCATATTAAATTTAAAACAAAACTGTAACAATGCAGGAAATCAGTCTTTGTTTCATCATTTTTCATGTCTGTTCTCAAAGTATATCATCCGGGCACTCCAAGAAGCTGAATTTAGTTGCGACTCCCTGTCTTTTCAAATGATTTTTTTTTTAGGTTACAGTAGCTAAGCCAAACTATTTCTAAAAAACAGGGCTGTAAGAGTCAGTACTTGGTGTTTTTGTTCTTTTTCAGGGTGTGCTGGATTCACCATGTTACAGGAGTGTGGGTGTACCCGCTTCTTGAGCACCTCAGCCCAGGTGTCAAAATAATCTTTTTCGCAGCTGTTACTGTAATAATTAACATTTTCTACTTGATGGGAGAGATTCTGAACAACTACATCTGGGATACCCAAAAATGTGAGTATTGTTTTAGGAATATTAGCTTATGAAATGCTCTGTCAGGACTTGAAGATGCTCCCCTGAAAGTCAAAAAGATATTTAGTAGGCTAAAACAAAGGAAAATGACAGAAGTTCCATTGAAACTTCTTGCTTACTTGCTCTTAAAAGCAGTCAAATGAATGGAGTTGCTGCTGGAAAGCATGAAGAGCTATGAATGAGCTATGTATTTTTTTATAACTTCTAATACTAATTTAAGAGCTGTTGGCAATTACCTGAAAGGTTTACAACCCACTTGGTTCACAACCCACTTATTAGCTGATGAACCCATTAAATGCAGCTAGAATAAAGTATCATTTTGTAGGAATGCTGTTAATGTTAAACTTAGAGTTAGAAATAAAAAACTGTATTCTCAGATATAAGGTATGTATAAGTATTCTCAGATAAGGTGTTTTCTGCTTATAAATTTACTCAAGGAAAATTAATATTTTCACATTGATCAAATAATAGGAATGAAAGATCACATTATTGGAGGGTAAACATAACTCTGTATACTCTACATTCATCTACCATGCCTAGGCCAGCCAATGCTGAGTAAAGGAAAAGGGAAAATAAGACGAACACAAGATTAAAAGTAGATGTCTTTAGTCTACGAAAGATGGTTTTCACTTGTCAAAATGCGTGAAATAAGCAAACAACATTCATAATCTCCTCAGGAGCAAGTCACAAATGGAGTGAAATACTTGCTCAGTGGGAATTCTGTCATTACATTAATTGGGCCCATAATGGATTGTGACCATATGAACAGCCTGCATCCCTGTTTGGGAAGCATAGTGTGCACTTGCTAATACAACGTAAATTCACATGGTTGCTTACTGCACACACAACTCTCTTTTAACAAGGCCTTTAGTGCTATGTAGAGTCTGATTCCAGGAGCTCAAATCAGTTTTATGTAACATTTGCTCACGTTAGCAAGCAGGTGCCAAGTGCTTTCCTTGGTTGTACCCTAGAACCAGCAATCATTGGTCGCAGTGTCCAAGTGTGGTTTTGAGGCCTCACTTGGATGTCACAGTCATGTCTATTGTAATTGTGTTAACTCAGGAAAGAAGTTTCTAGAAAAGCCAGCCACACGGAATACTTCCACTTGAGCTTTGTGAAGTCCTGTATGAAGCATAGTAATGTGGTGAAGAGTCACATATTCTCACCAAGTCCATGAATAAGTAAAAGGCAGAAAATCTCCCTCGCTATTCCACCGTATGCCTAACAAAATCTCTGGGTCTTGTGGCCCTCCACCCCAGAACAGCTCAGGTTAATTGGGTCATTCGTCCAGCAGGTTCACCATGGCCTTGTTATCCTCTCTGTTATTTCCTTGATTTGGTTAAAGAATACTGATCCACACTCTCTTGTGGCTCAAGCACTTGCAAAGCAGATAATGCCATGAGTCACCTGCTGTGTTGCTATGCTTGAGACACTTTGCATAAACCACACCTGAGGTGTATGACAGCGGAAATTTAAAATAATGCCAATCTGTCTCCATGCAAGATTTGAGAAAATATCATTTGAAAACTGTACTTTTGAAAGGGGCTTTTGATTAGTAAGGTTTCAAACTAAAGCAGCCTGCCATGAGAGTTCTGGGGTGAGAGGGGGTTGTTGGAGTTCGGAGGTTTTTTTTCCTTTTCCTCTGGAGATGCATTAAATAAAACCTCACTACTGACAAAATGATTTGCAGTTAGTTTTTCCAAGTTAAACCACAAACATGGTAGGCAAGGAAAAATTTGCCCTTTCTACAAGCCAGTGTCTGTCCACAGTTTTGAGGGTATCTGCATTCCTGCCAAAGTATTTGATGCATCTGCAGTAGAGCAATTCAGAAGAAAGGAAAGAGGCTCTTTTTAAAAGGCAAATAAAACAGCTCATTTAAAATGATTGGAAAAGTTCCTTACAGCAAAAGGCAGAAGGCTCGAGATTGGCTCTGGAGCAGCCTTGTAAACCCACTGTAATCTTTTGGACCCAGCCTCTTGTTTTGGTTGTTAAACCTGTGACTATGGCTCTTCATCAGTTTGCCAGCGACACCCAGGGCCATTGTACTTGTGCTGCTGGCAGCGTGCAGACCCGTCTCTTTCCCTGTTGCTTCTTTCAACAAAGGCCACTCTGCAGTTGTGCTTTCTAACTGCACATGGCTCTTAGTGTTTCCCATCCTGGAATTGATTAGCTGTGTTTTGAAAGTGATTTTTGGTGTAACTGCCATCTACACATAGATTGCATTAGCAGGTGATCTTACTTGTGACTGGATTTTCCTCTCAACGTTCTCAAAAATTACTTCTTTTTTGCCTTCAGTCCTCAGAGGGCTGTCTTTTCCAACATGCAGCAGGCATAAAAATCTCCAAAAGAAATATTTTTATTTGAGATGTTTGGCAGAGAGGGCTTAGTCAGAAGAACAATACTTTTGTCAGATACCAATAGTAATTCATTGTCCAGGAACAGGCATATGAAATAGCTGAATGTTTTCATTGCCAGAAAAAACACAATCTGCTGCCTGGCCCAGACTTTGCTCAGCATAGACAAGAGAAAAGTCCTGCAGCCAGGATCAGTTCTTTAAGGAGCCCTACAGTCAGCTCAGCCCTCCTGGTATTGCTGAAACATGGCCACTGCAAGGCAAGAGGCACCCTATCAGCAGGAACCGGTTCTTCATTCTTGTGCTCTCGAAAAAGGGAGATGTGTATGAAGGTTGTTAAAAACCCAGCGTTGAAATGGGGGGGAGGGAGCTAAAGTTACTAAATTCTGAAGCAGAATTTTAAAAACTTGCATTCAGATAAATCTGGCTGCTTAGCTTCAGCTCTAATAACATCTACTCCAATTTGCTCTTAGGTAAGCAGAGGAGCCAAGGGAACTGAGTGTTCCCAGTCCCCTGCAGCAGTCAAAGGCTGAGCGTGCGGCAGGGGGCTCGGCTGATCTGAAAACGGTCCGGAGGGAGGGAGGGCTGCGCGGTTCATTACTGGACAACCACTGCCATCAGGTGTGCAGATGCTCTTTTCATTCGCAGCAGGTGAGGTGACACAGGCAAGGGCATGCGAGCAAGGAGGGGAGAAACAACAGCAATAAAGGGAAGAGAAAGATTAATGTGCGAGAAGAAACTTCTCTAAATAAACTCTTCATTTTTGTTCATTCTGAGATTTTTGAAAGCTGTTCTCCATATGTTTTCAGGTATTGAAGAAGAAAAAGAGAAGACAAAAATGGACTGAATAATAGATGCAACATGGAGGCTCGTTCGTGGCTCCATGGAAGATTTCTCATCCCCAACAGAGGTTGGCACGGAGAGGAGTCTTCTGGAAACCAGGCAGTTTAGTGGGCCCTCTGCTCAGTGCAAGGATATTTGGGTTTTTTTAATGAAGGCAAATGATTTTAGCTAAGAATAATAATTGTGTTTTAACCTCCATTACTATTTATCCATGCTTGCATGTGATACACACAAATAAGATGTAAATTTATCTCCACAGCATTCTCAACATCCATTTCTTGCATCAAATAAGTCATTAAATCATGAAGTCATTAAATCTGTCCACTTCCACCCAGAAGAACAAGTCCATTCTTTGTATTGTTTGAGAAAAGCTTAACCAGATAGGTCTAATATGGGGAAACAAAACAATCCTATATATTCAAAGTACAGTGTAAAAATATATTACAGTTAATTGCATGAATGTAGCCGAAGAAGAATTCAATCTGACTGAAATATTAATGTAACATGTAACAGTTGCCTTAAATCAGTGATGTTAATAATTTTATCAATCCAGTAAAAATTTATTTGCAGTGCTAGACTATCTGAATATGATGCAACTTTTCTTAAATATGCCTAAATAAAGATCAAGTTACCCCCAGGTTTATGTTTCTTCATGCTGATTCTTGAAATTCTAGATGGATTGATGGCATTTGAATGATTTATTTTCAGGTTTTCCAATGTCAGCAGTAGATGATATTATTTCTACATGAGGATTTTTCTTCTTATTTTCCCAATACAAGACCTGATTCTGCATTTTCAGGTTGTGAGTTCTCAATATATGGGCTGAGCCATTAGCATAGTACGAGAGAGAACGTTTAAGCCTTACTTCAGGAAGGCACATAAGCAAATGCCTGTTGTATCAGAAATATGCCTGTTTGTGCCTGGAATTCCATTGCAAAACACTAGTAGTGGTCGAAACTTGACAGAATTCTGTTTAATTATCAGACAATCAAAAGGGAACTGTAGTAGGCAGAAAAAAATGTGTAGAATTGATTGCTGATTTTCAGCAAGAAATTACTTTATGCAAAAGTAACTTGAAGATCCAAATGTACTAATGTTCACATCACACATACTCATTAGTATATTTAGGTGTATTTATTTTATCACATATAGAGCACTTTAGAGGTATATGTTAATGTGTGATTTTTATTACAGAGTTTTAATATAACTTAAATATGTTTCTGCTCTGGAACAGTTCTGGGGAAACTGATCTCGTGCAAATCATGACATGGCTCTCCAGTACGTTTTTTAAATCCATTACTGTTTATGTACAGATGATCACAGAAATGGTGCAGTAGTTCAACATTGTGATTTCTGATTGTTTCATTCAAAAATAAGGCTTCTGTGATTGTATTGCCTTTGTCACTGTCTGTCCTCTCAATAATTTTAATTTGGTGGTCAGAGTTGCAGATTTCGAAGCTGGTCAGGTTACTAGAAAGTACATGGGAATATGTGGGCTGATAAAGGAGATGGAGTTCACAGGAGAAGGTCCCAGAGAAGGAGAGGGCAGGATACACAATCAGCAGCACTTCCAGCCCAAGGTACTTCAGTTTCATGAGTGCTGATGTCTAGCTGCTCCAGATGAAATTACATTAAAGGACATGAGGTGGGTGTTGAATCTTGAAATTTAAAATATGGGTTCTGTAAATGGCATCAAACAGAAAATCTGAGTGAATGCTCCTATAGTCGGACCTTTCCAGCCAAGTTATTACGACAAATGCAGTCCCTAATGAATGTTCTACAGGAAGGCACTGTCACATCACTGCAGTCAGGCAACTCTAAGGAGGAGCTAATGCATCCTGCATTTGTCTGCTCTTTGCCATTGCATGGTCAGGTCACCACTGTCAGAGGACGTGGTGCTAGCACAGCCCAGTAAGGGGGCTTCTGGCTACAATGCTCTGCTTGGAGATGGTTTGGGTTCCATGGCTCAATGCCAGATAAAAATGAGTACCCTGCCTGTGCACTCAAACTAGCTTTGGAAGCAAATTAGCTATAGCCATGTGGCCTTGCAATAAGGTTATTAAGCTCTGCTGGACCTGAGCAGAGTTGGCACACATGCACAGTAATTCTGCAACATGGTTACTCTATCCACAGATAACTGGGCTTGATTGTAATAGATGGTTATTATTGGAGGTGGTTGGATGTCTGTTATTTGCAACAGGCTTTGTAACAACTCAGGAAGAGAAGAAAACATGGATTCGGTCCTGTTTCGGTGAGGTATGAGCTGTTTAAAGTCACTGCTTCTGAAAGCTTTGGTAGCATGTGAAGGTACTGATGGACAAAAAACATGCTAAAGAATGTAGCCGTACTTTCTGACAGCAGCAGTAATGGTAACACACACTGCATTGTGAAGAAATTATCAACTGTGGCTTAGGGTGGGAAGCTCAAAGCACAAACCCTTTACACTGGTCATTTGGAGAACTTGCGTAAGCCAGGTTCTGCTGTTAAAACTAACAAGTTTTCGTGATTTTTTTATTTCACATGGATTGTTTCCGTCACTGATTTTAAGAGGATTCTGATGGAAAGGGGTTAGATACAAATAAGAAATCCCAAAATGCCACAGAGCTACACACACTCTGCTAGAGCACACTCTGAATGTCTCCTCTGCTGATTCTAATGCACCACTGAGTGGCTGAGACTGGCAGCTGACGTCAAGATTCCTCTTTTTCAATGCTTTGCACCCATTCAGGGTAAGTTTTTCTTCTATTACCACGTCATTTTACGTAATATTGGAAATGTAATAACAAAGAGAACAGAGACATCTGAGACTAAATTGACATAACTGAATCCACAGATAGGTATCCAAGCTGTTCAGAGGTGCCACATAGGGAAAATTAAAATTATCTTCCCTTTTGTCTGTGAATTTGTGAATATTCAGCACCTCAGAAAAATAGATTGCCAAGCTTAGACACCAGTTATGGGCTTAAGCCCCTGAGGTTGGCAATATTAGCCAAAGGCAATATATGTGACACAGAATGTGATAGGTTTCATTTGGTTTGAGAAAATTTATAGTATTTGGAGAAGGTCTGAACTCAATTTGTCTTCTCAGGTCTCAGAAAGTTCTCCACCTCCTATGAGCTTTGAATCATAGTATTTAAAGTCAAAAAAAATTTTAGAGCATTAAATCCAACCTATGATGTATGAACAACGATATAAATAACTTAGGGGCCTGTGTACCCAGAGAGTGCTCTTCTAGACTGTGTTCATTCCCTTTAGAATTACACAATCCATCATGCTTAAGAAAGATGATGGATGAATGATGACTAAAGTAAAAGTCACTTGTAAACTTGCCAAATTTCAACCATCTTGGCTGAAAATGTCCCTGAAAGGTATTTCTCTTGGGGGAACTATTTTTTTGGTGGAAAACTTTTGTCAGAACAAGTCATCTATTTCCAAGTGAAAGTCTATGAAAAAGACTTTTTTTTTTTCTATGTCTAGAAACTTTTCTCTACTTGTGCTGTGGAACTGGTTCTGTGGAAGAAGGATAGCAATAATGTTAGTAACACTTTATACTTTATGACAAAACTCTACTTGTCATTGTCCAGGTTGTAGGAAAAAACCTGCCTGCACTTCCCTGTAGTGCACAGGTAATTCTCCAAAGTGCTTATGCATATGCAGAGGTTGCTTTCCAAGATGCACACCAGAATGGGGACCTTGATCTTGGTTCCCATGTATCGTCAATACCTCCCCAAAGCTGATGCAAATAAAGCTGCCTAGAGCAAATATGAAGGAGACAAAGCTTTGAGGAAAACTTGAGCAATAGGTTGTAGATGAATAAGCTAAATGGAAAGACTCCTAGCCTTTCCCTTGAGAACCACAGTAAAATTAAATTATTAATATTTGTAAAGTATGTCATAGCTATAATGATAAACCACACAGAAAATTCTGTGAAGGAATCATTAGTTTTGTTGTCAGAGAAGAATATAGCATGCAGTAAATAAGGAAGGCTGCCACACCTTGAACCACAAGGAAAAAACAAAATATGGTTTCATCATTCAGTGAGCACCATCCATCATGTGTTATGAATGAGGCAGAGGAAAAAATATTGTGTGATCATCTAATTAAAGGCAGTATCATAATTCATACTCGCAAGGGGCCAAATTAAGGTTGAACAGACGGCCTTAATTTTGACATTACCTCACTCTTGAATGCCTGACTTTGCAATCTTAATAATACTCTCTTGACTTAGTATAAAACATAAAAAAGAGAGATTTATTTAAAGCTGGTTAGAATGACTGGCCACAGAGTTGCCATGAATTTGAGTTTCACTGTATGCCCTGTTTGGCTTTACAGTGCTCGTTCTCACTTTCTCTGTGCATTTAGATACCCTGAAATGTATTTGCACAGCTCTCATACCACTCTGTTACAAAGAGATTGCCATAATTTGCTAACTTTTGCTGCAGCTTCAGAATGAAATTATTTTAGTCTGTAATTTGGCTTGTGTGTGATAAAGCCATATTTTGCTTTCTCTCTATAGCAACCGTTGCCTTATTTTAAAGGGATCTGACAAACATTTTCCCCAATATTAAGTTGTTTCTTTGCTTCTCTGCCCACCAGTAGTATTTGCTAAATTGCTACCAGTGCACGTCAAGTCTACTTGGACACTGTGTGTAGACTGAAAAATGGCTAACCCTTCCACAGGCTCCCCAAAGGCTCTTTGTATTGCTAGTAATGATATGATACACAAATGATATACAAAATGGCAGCTTGTAATGATAAGGCATATGTTCTTATTTAATTGTTCATTTTGAATTTGCTATTCAAAGGCTATTTCAAACCCTGACAACAATTTCTTCTTCACCTTTTACTTTCTATAAAGGTTGAGCAGTCTGCAGGGCTCTGATACAAGCTTGGGTAGCCTTTGAGGACTCTGATACCATCAGACTGAGCGCTGAAAGAAGGATTTAAAATCTAAAACTTGAGATAAAATATAGTTCTGAAAAGACCGTCAACCTGAGGCTAACATCACTGAGGTAGGTTTGGTGTTCCTGCCCTGGGAATAAAGGAGCAAGCAGTGAGAGATGTGTAAGTGTGGCCGCTTCTGAATGCACCTTGGAGGAGATATGCTACCAATCCTGTCTTTAATGCTCCTGTTTTTAATGTGAGCGGGGGCAAACGATGGTGACAGATATTTTCCATCAGCAACAACAAAAGAAAGCTCCTAACCAAATCCTGATGCATAGTAGTAGAACAGGTCATATCCACTAGGGTATCCCAGCTGCTCTGTGCTGCTCCTGTGGTTTGAAGCTTCACATGCCCCTTTAGCCAACCACTTAAATGAGGATCACAGGTGCTGCAGTAAAAGCCGGGAGTTTTATAATATATTTGGGGCATTATATTTGGCCCAAGGTGCTCATATATGTTGTAAAAGTGCAAATGTGCCTGATTCTTCAATGTGCCTGATTGCAGTATTAAACCTGGGGTTTGTGCTTTGAGTATTTCAGAAGTCCCAAGAAATAAAAGCATTTGCAGGTTTGGTTAATTTCTGCAGGGGCAATGATCTCTCCTTTTTGAAGCAAGAGGAGCAAAGGGGAATGAAATTAGTCTGGAAAGTAAACAGATTTAGCTGTCAACATCTGTTTAGAAACATTCTTAAGCACACACTGAATTCAAAAGCATACACACAGGTGCTTTTCAGTGCAGAGGCTTTGCTGAATGAGGGTGCAAGCAGACTTGCAGGTGGGATGCTTTCTGCAGTGCTCCTAATGATGTAGTGAAGTGAAAGAGCTTTTTGTGCTTAGAGCCTTTTGAGTACAGTGACCTCCTCTTACTTGTATTATTAAAAAACTCTAAAAACAGAACCGTCCAATTTACAGACCATAAACAGCAAATATATTTAATGTATATTCTCCAATATAAGCAATTTTATTTTTATCTAAAATGCACTCTGCTTTGTTCAAATAACAGATGGAAATCAATGGATTTTAATGTAACCCAGAAGAGCAAGATGTAGTCTTACTCCCTTAAATGCCCTTTTCTTGTTCAGACCACGGCTGTAAAAGGATTTGAACCTCAACACAGTAAATGCCAATATGGAAATTTGAAAGGTAGGCTACAGACTTCTTGGCCCACCGGAGGAGCTATTTGCTGTTCCTTAGAGCTGTGTAAAGAGAGAGAGAGAAGTAAAACTGAATCTGTTTCATATAATCTGTATTGTAGCTAATCATGTTGCCCAAGTTTGGCATTTCATATATAGCTTAAGTATTAAAAAGTAAACATCTACCATTAGAGTGGAGAAGCTTCTAAGTAGATTGCTACAGTACAGTCAGAACTAGGACTCAATATCTCTGCTTTTTTAATACACAAATGGTCCCCACAGTACGTATATTGTGTTTGTAAAAGTTCAGCACACATGCATGCATCTATATATACACACATGGCAGCACAGACACACATGATCTTCTGCAGAAACAAGTAATGACAGTCAGATGTTAAATGACAGCTACTTGCTTACCATGGAAGGAAATCAGGAGCTATGAAAGGTAACATTCTCGACATGGACAGTAATTCCATCCAATCTCCAACCCTGCAGCTCCTGGTGCTTCCACTTTTCCCCTCGGTGTAAGGCTGCTGAGCTGCAGGACATGCTGCCTGTGGCAGCAGGGACAACCTGCAGCTGCAGCACTCTGCACTCCGCTGTGGGCAGTTACAGGGAGATAACATTTACAGACTGTGCAACTCCCTGCAGTTTGCATTGCTTAAGAAATTTTTGCTTCTGCATTTCTGGTTGTTTAATTTGATTTTGCAGGCAGAGCAGTGCCTGGCTAGCCTTCTACATGTAATTGTCCTAGCTTATTTGCTATGTAAAATAAAATAATTTGTTCTTATTTAATAATGCTTCCCAATTTGGCTTCCAAGTTTGCACCTGACAGATGTAATGGGATAAAAGAAGGGAAGGTCACCCCTCATCTGCTACTGGTACTAAGCTGCAAACCATTTTCTCTAGGGGTGGCTTTACAGAGTAGGATTATTATTAGTCACAGAGCAGAAGGTGGCAATTAAGTGCAAAATACTTAGGCAGCAAAAATTATGATAATGGGGGACCTCAACTACCTGTATGTAGTACGACCAAGAGTCACCATGGGACAAGTTATAAAGAAGGAATTTCTTGAATGATAATTTCTCGAGCAATCATCTGTGCAGTACACAGAGGAAGAGTGTTCTCAAACCTGAGAACCGCAGAGACTCCTTCAAGATGTAATCCCAGGTGAACCATTGAGCAATACTGACCACAGCATAACGACATTCACCCTCCCCGGGGCAGAAGGGTACCTAAGCTTTGTACAGTGACCCTAAATATCAGAGGTGAGTGGTGGGAAGGACAGGAATGAAAGAAAAAAAAAAGTCATTAAAAACAGATGTAAATTTTAAATTACATTTACATTGTACACAGATTATACTAGCAAAACGTGAGCCTTATAGCTCAAGAGCACCAGGTGTGCACGGGGCAACTCCCGAGCCTGTGTTAAGGGAAATCCCGTATGTGCAGACCAACAGGGCTTGTATCCCACAGGATGGGCACACTCAGAATATTTTTCCCCAAAGGTCTCAGGCTTGGCCATACCCTCGCACCCATCTGAGGGTGACTTGCCTCCAGCAGAGCCATTATACAAAGCAACTCTCTCGGCACAGACAGTGGCACCTTCTCCCACGCAACAGGGACATCTTGCAGCGAACACTCAAGAGGCAGCTCTGGGGAAGCTGTGTGAGAGACAACAAATGAAAATAAGCAACCTGGTTAGAAAAAAAATCACCTAAGTGTAGCCAACAGCTGTGTGTCTCTCCAGAGAGATGCACTCAGTCAAATTGGGTTTCAGTCTGTCTCTACTGAGGCCACAGATTTATGCAGGATTTTGAAAATGGAAGGAGCTGCTGAGGCCAACCCTCAGGCAGGAGTATTGTGATACTTTTAATGGCAGAACCACTGCTGGGATAGGCACAATTGGAGGCATGTCGGTGTGGTGGCATGATTGTAGAAACATAAGCTCATCTAAGTTAAAGAAGACTTTCAAGATCACCAAGTCCGGCCACCAACATGACCTACATACTATATTCCAGCTATTTCCAGTGTTATGGGGTGTTTGGAGGGAGCCACAAAACTGAACTGGAGCTAAGCTTCGAAAGAGGTCCACTGGATGGCCTGCAATACAATTAAACCAGGAATACCTGTAAAGTCTGTCTGCTGACGTTAAGGTGACAAAGGTGGGTTTACTGCACAAAATGCAGCATCCTGTTTGTGCCGGACCCCATCTTAGCCCTGTGCGATGTTCAGAAGGACTCTTCCTTCAGTAGGAGGTCCACACAGCCCAAGCTATCCCAGGGGTTAGGTGGACGTTGGCTGGAAACACCGTTTCCAGCAAATACTCTGCTGTGCTTGTGAACGCAGCTCCTGTAGGGTGACATACATATTGGCAAGTACCATAGGTACGGTTGGCATGTGTGACTGGAGATTTCAGACTAACTCAAAACAAAACAAAAAATAGAAAAGTAAAAAAAAAAAAGAACAAGAAAAAAGATGTAAGGCTTTGTCTAATAGCACATTAATTATGCAGGTACTGGAAAATTTCTAATTCCTTTCAGCACTTTTACTCGGAATTTAGATTCAGCTGGATATACTTAATTTTTTAAAAGCCTCTACATTTTGCAGTTTACACATTTGCATAGCGTAGGACTACTGTCAGGAACATATATCTGCAGATCTGGGGCATGAGCTGTTCTCATCATTTCAGTGGGATGGAGAGAAAACAGTTCAAAGGAGGAGGATGGGGGAAGGGAAGCATTTCCATATATTTTTTTAGGAATCATAAAGAAACACAGGCAAGAATGTCAATCATGAGACATATTTCTCTCTTTAATATTATCAGGAATACAAAAGTTCATAGAGCACATGTGTGAGAGGATGCTGCGCTGCCTTGACTACATGATCTGCATGATACATGTCAGAAGATGGGAATGTTGCTATGGCAATTGTTCCTGTTCCTGAATACTAAGTTGACGACTAAGCCAGTCCACAATCAGGCAGGCTCATTTATGAACTTATCTGCTTGGAGACATTAAGTGATATTTTCAGTTTCTCTTGAAGAGATGCATAATTTTCTGCCCTGGCATCTTAAAGCCCCAAGCTCCTCAGCTCCCCCCTCTCACCTCCACCCAGGGTTTCTGTGATTTGGAAGCCACTGAAGAGAGAGATTTAACCGAATTGTAGTGATGAGGACTGTTGGGGTTTTTCCTCAGATTATACAGAGTTCTTCAATTTCCAGCTCGATATGAAAGCAACAGAAAAATGCATCTTTCTGCTATATGCTACATTTCCTAAAAGTCATCTTGTTATTTTTTTAAATTCTGTATAAGGTAATCCATAAATCTTTACTTTCAATCTGGAGAGGACTAGCATCTTTCCACTGCCCCCTGGAAGAACAGTAAGGGAGAGGGATTGGTAGCCTATTACTTCCCCATTTTAATGTTTTAACTGTGCCACCCTGAGGGCCCATCTCATCCTTCCCTGTACTACTGAGCCTTTCCCACTGTGCTGTGTGGGTAGTGTGACAGGAAAGTAATATCTTTACCATTGACTCTCCAAATTCCACCACTGGTTTCCATTAAAACCAGTATTTTCTTCTACTTTCTGCCCTAAAAATCTGTATAGCACTTCTTCCATGTGTAATCAAATCAACTGGCATCATCTTTGCAGAGGTGGCAAACTTCAGCAGATACAGTGATTCCTGTATTACTGTGATTCCCGTTGTCCAAGTTGTATCATATTTTCTAGTAGCAGGCTGATCTCCGTTATTTTCCTTTTACTTAACTTTCACTTTGTGGACTGGAATTTTCCCTGCTAGGAAAAATCTACATGTTTAGTTCAGGCTGAGTATCGAGGGGAAATTTTCTGCTAAGATGGCTGAGGTACTCTGGAATGAAGATAAAGAAATAAATGGGCTGTATTGCCCATATCAGAAAAAGTTATTTGAATTATATGATCATACAATTTTTTTTTAAAAATTGAGACTTTTTTTTTTTTTTTTTGGTCAGGATATATATTGCTTTAGGGAACAGTGCAGGGAAGGAGGCTGTAAAGGGCTTATCTGATGTGTATTAAATGTTCCTAGCAGGACAAGCTAGGAAGAGAAAGAGGAGGAATCCAAAAGCTGTTCTGCAGAATTGGATCCTCTGCTTACATGTGTGATGTTGGAAAAATTACTTAATTTTACCCATTCACAGTTGGCCAGTAACTTTATTTACAGTTTGAAATGTTTATTTAGCACCTCCCATTGGCTCTAAAAGTACTAAAATAAATGAGTTCTGAATGAGCAAATGAGCAAGACAAATGGTATTAATGAGAATTATGGCAGCCTATACGTCAAATCACTCAAATACCCACCTCAAAAAATGAATGTACCATAAGAGAATATGGATTTATTTTATGCTTCAGGATCAAGATATTAAATAATAAAGCCAACAGAAAATATAACATGACCAAAACAGAAATGAAAGAAAATTTTTCTGTCAAGTTTAACATGTGCACAAATTCCAGTACAACCAACCTAAGTGTCTCAGACAACTCACAGGTTTGTGTAGACCCATAGGGATCCACAAACATAGGACATCTTTGGAAACTGCAGGAGCAGGTGCTCTCCATAGAAGTCTGACTTCCTGATGTAACATTCATTCATTCTCTGTAGGAACATGGAATGAGTGGAAGAATTTCAAATTTAAGGCTTAACTCTGAATGCTTGTTCAGACTGTCCAGCTGGTCTGAGGTTTTTGATACCCATCTGACTCCGAGGCAGAGAGCCTAGCTTCAAATGCAAAGACCGGCAAAGAGATGTCAAAAGCTTTCACTGGTCAGGGCACGAAGGAGTAAATAGCATTTACTTGTTTAGCAGGATTAACCAAGTAAGGACACTTAGCACTTTACCACTATACAGACCTAGATTTTTTTAAACTATGCATTTATTTCTTTTCCATATGAACTTGTTTTGTTTCCTGAGGTTTAAAGGATGAATTTGAGAAGCCACCATTGCTGCAGGTACTTTCCACATTTCTGAGCAAGGAGATGAGGGAAAACAGCAGATGAAGTTAATTTTTCTACAGTCTTCTGCACCAGATAGGAAAGATGATGAACTGCAGCTGAAAATTAGATGCAATTTTAGTATACAGAGCAGTGCACCCTGCTCAATGGGGACCAGGACACACCACTTTCTAATAAGCACCACAGCCATGCTCTAGGCATGTTGCCCAGAGCAGGTGTGAAAGTTGCATCCAGAAGGGCTGAAAAGCTTAGATGTCTCTTTACAAATAAGCTCTGCCAACAGCTGTGATTGGGAAGCATTAGCTAGGATGTGACCATGGCAGCTTCCTTGGCTACCCTGTTTGCAAGCTACTTGCCTCTCTGGTGATCCCAGCACTATCCCTTTGCTTTTCCCAGCAGAGCTGAGAACCACTTGCCTGTTCTGAGAAGAGCTCCTCAGCATTCATCGCCATGAAAAACCACAAGAGCTGGAGTAAAACAAGATTTATTCAGAAAGAGGGTGTGAATCCAATTAGAGCAAAACAAACAGTCTATATGACACATTTCTTTCTCACCTCTGCAGAAGCTAATCTAGCTAATCCCTCTGTGTTGTAACAGGAAAATAATCAATACCTTACAAATCCACATCGAGTATCCGAGGACGCAGGCAGCAAATAGCAGCTGTCTGGGCCTCCAGCCCATTCAGCACTGTATTTGTGAGCACACAACTGCCTCTGGTTTGCCCTCCAACTTTCTGCTGCGGTGTCTACACGCAGGCACTGACTTCAGGCCACATCTCATTTTCTTATTCCCAAATAAGCATTCCGCTTTGCTTTGCCATCGTGATGTGAGTTTCCTAAATAAGAAGATGTTCTGGGAAAGAGATCTTCCTCCGTGCTCTTGAGAAAAGATAGTCATTTCTTTCGGAAAGCTTGGCATTCGCACAGGCTGCACTGACATCCTGTGGCTCGATTTCCCAGCCTGAAGTGAAGGCGAGTGTGCAGGGACAGTTTCGCCCCCGTTTCCTATCCCCTCTCAACACCACCCCATGTGAACACGTCCCTGCCCTGGGCTAGGCTGGCAGTGATCCGGGACCCAGCTTCATCACGTCCACCCTTGTGCTAATGCTGACGGCTGGGGGAGCGAGCTGCTGTCCACCCACCTTTTTGGTGTCCCCTGAATCACATCCTGCTAAGGCAGGGCTGGGTGAGGGTGAGCTGCAGTGACCATCACTTGATGGGGTGTTCCTGGAAGGGTGAGGGCATTTTTAAGGAAAAACTCATGTAAACCCCTCATACCACACCTCTGCCCACAGGGACCCCAGACAGAGCCTGTGGCTGGGGCTAAGCAATCCCAAAGGATGCCCCAGCCCCTGGTCAGATGCTGTGTGAAACAGCACCCAGTCCCAGCAGACAGCAAGCCTAATTTTACCCTCCCACTGGGAGCAGCATTAATCTGTAACTTTTTAGGCATCACTCGATCAGCTGAATAACAGCTATTAGCTTTGGACTCTAGGCATTTTTATGAGATACTGGTTCCAGGGCTTGTGGTTTGGCATGGAAAGCATATTATTCACACACAAAACAACGGCATTAAAATAACATTAGGAATCTGGCTTAAACTGACAAAACCTAGGAAACTCAGAATTAAGGCTGAAAGTATGTCCTTAACTCACCCACAGCACGCCTGCTAGGGCAGCTTATATCGCACGTGAAATCCCCTGGCGCTGGCCCCCCGTGGACCTGTGCTCAAGACAAGATTTTTGGGGAGGAAAACAGGGCTGCACCTCGCCCGGGACCAGCCAAGGCCAGCGCCACCATCACACCCTGGGCCAGCCAGGGCACTGCTCCACCTCACCGGGTGGAGACGCTCGCCATGCAGCGCCGCCCTGAGAGGCGGCAGCCATTACGTGGCGGGTCAGGCCGAGGCTGCTTGCCTCCCGTCCGGGCTTCGTGCCTGGCCCTCCCAAGCAGCAGGGGTGAAAGGAGACAGACGTGTGGGCTTGAGCGGTGTCTAGCCATGCTGGGGACAACCCAAATGAGGGGAAAATGGGGAAAGCTAGATGTGGTGAGCGCTGCCTGGAGAACAGCCCTTTGCAAAGCGTGTGGGCAAAATACTTGCCTTTTGTAGGTGCTACTGAATGCATAGGGAGGCTAGCAATATAGGGTGTGAGCTTTCAATAGACATAAAAAATTATACATGAAGTGCTCAAATTCAGGATTTCTGTGTGTGTTTCCTACACTGCCACCAGCAACATTGCAGTCAAAAGAGAGCTGCTGAGAAAGCAGTGCAGGCTGAGGAGAAGTTAGTCCAGCATGTGGCCAGGGGTGAGGCATGAGCCAGGCATGCCAGCCCGCGTGGCAACTTGCCCCGATCTGCAGTTGATTTGCTCTGATTGATCGAAGTAGCACAGCCAGGATGAAACGTACCCGGGGCAGGGACTGCCAGGTGATGCCAGGACAGTCGAGGCTGCAGAGGCGGGCTGGAGTAACACTAGAGCAGAGAGGAGGACATGGGCCTTTCTGAAACCTGCCAGGGGAAAATCCTTGGCCCAGAAAACACCTTCTCATGTTCCCTTTGTGGATCGTGTTACCATGGGGGACTGCGGCCAAGTCGGGGCACAGGGACACAGGTTGCTGCCATGGAAGCTGAGGGGAGGAGGGGAACTTGACACTACCAAGCGCTGGCTGTGCTGAAGGGCTCCCTGCCACAGGCCTGCAGTCAGAGGACACCACCATGAGGACCTCAGGAAATTTATGTCATGGCACCCAGTGGCTGAAAAAAGGAGGGAGGGTCCCCCAAAGAGCCAAAAAACAGCAATTCTGGTGTCAAGCCTTGTAGAAACGCGTGCTATGAGCCTGTTGTCCTCCCCAGACTTTGCATTTGGTCACAGGACACAAACATCAAAACCCTCAACTGGCCACTGGCTGTCTGGAAGGTATATCTGAGCTCGAGGTGATCTCAGTTGCAGCAATAAATAAATGAAAGCAGCAGCCATGGCAGTATCAGAGGTCACATACTCCCAGAAGAGCTCCCCACAGGTGCCTAGACCCTGTGGGAATGATGCCCACTCCAAGCCCTGGTGACAGGACCAGCTCTACTCGTTTTAAAGCTTTTTTTTTTTTTTTTTTTTTTTTCCCCTATGCCAAGTATTGCCTCCAGACTGCAGCTAAATCAGCTCCTCTAAAAGCACATTTGAAATAAGTTTCACTTCTTCACTTTTCTGCTGCTCTGCCTATTCCTTTTATTTATGAGCTCTGCCATTTTGTAGGAAACAACCCAAGACATTTGTGCATGAGGCATCTTTAAAGCAGAAATCACATTAAAAAAAAAAAAAAGTATCAGCCAAAAAAAAGTTTTTCAAATTGCAAGGTTGTCACACTGCTTAGTAAAGAGGGGTGCACCTTAACCATATTGGGTGTGATTTTTTCCTCTCAGTGAGGTGAGAAAGACATTTGCTATTCACATCTTGGAAGCAAAACAAATAGAATAATTATTTCTTTTCCAAGCAAAGGCAAATGCAGTTGAACTTAGAGCTCTGTGCTTTTTGCTTTTATGCCATAAGCCAACACATTCCCTTGCAAACTGACATTTGCAACACACCACAAACACGGTGCTATACCTGGCACCAAATTTGTGTTTGGGGTCAAAATTAACATTCAGATGATAAGGTGAAGAACGCTCGTCCTCTGGACACTCTGTCCCAGAAGCTCTGTAGCTAAGTTTATCACAGGATAATTCCAGTTTAATTCTTAGGAGGCTTTTTAGTGGAAAACAAATGTTTTGCTTATTTTGGGATCATTCTTCAAACATAATTTCAGACTCAAGCACCAGATTTCCTTGGTCCTCTTTTAAAGTTGCTGAATGCCTCCATATCTCACTGAGTACAGCTAGAATCACTGGTGCTCACTGGTTCAGAAAGACAGGTCTGAAATGAGTGGGCACTGGCTGCATGAAGTAGGGGTACGTGTCCAGAACATGCAAATGATGACTGTATGTTACTAACCCCTAATCTTCCTCTGCCCTTCCTAAATCTTAGCCTGAAAATAGAAAATAGCAAAATCTCCTCTGCATCAGGCCCATATCCTATCCACGTCATGTGGGTCAGGAGCAAATACAGCACTGTTTTTGCTTCTTTGTTGTGCTGCGCAGACAACACCATGCAACTGAGAGTATCCGCTACCATATTTCTGTATAGCATTTCAATTTCACCTTCTGAGCAAAATGCCTTGAATTCCAAAGAGTCTGCATGCAGGGGCAGCTGCCCCTTTGTGTGACAGAGTCCATGTGACATGGTACAGGGCAAACACCTGTGCCTTGCACTTCCAGAGCTGCAAGGTGCTGTGCATTGCCTCCTCTGCACATGAGCAAACACTCATCCTTTGGCTTTCGTGAGACAGAAGGTTGAAGCTGCACCAGTGGGTGTCTGCCAAATAGAAAGTACTTGCACGTGCACAGATACATGCAGTGTGTTTACAGAAAATGATAGAAAACAGGCCTGGGTGGTTTTTTAGGGACTACCTGGAAGGTTTTGTGTCCCTGCCCATGGCAGGGGGGTTGGAATTAGATGATCTCTTAGGTCTCTTCCAACCCAAAGCATCCTATGGTTCTATGATCAGTTATCTCACCTGTGCACTGATGCCATCACCACAAATATGTTTTTTATTAGAAAACAAAAAGAGGCTTCAGGTGTGTGCATCTTATTAAGACACTATGCCACTTTAAAAATACAATTTAGATGGCAGGTGATCGTTTCCATATTATGGAAGGCTTGAGAATGACTGACAAGATCTGCTTTTGCAGCTCTTATTTCTGCCAACCAAATTACTGAGGACAAGAGTGAATAGTGCATATTTAGAAAATGTATTTTTAAAGTTGGGCTTTGGCTGAACAGTAACTTCATGAGAAAGTGAAGCCTCCCCTTCCCAACTAGCTGTGACTGAAATACAGCAAATGAAGTAGGGGGAAAAAAGGAATGTAGTAAAGAAATTAAGCTATATAGCCAAAAAGAAGTTTCACCAGACATGCACCAGCACCCTGCACCCTCTTCACAGGCTTGGGATCAAAGCTGGGTGCTCATATCCGAGGGCTGATTAGCCCTTTCCCGATTAACTCTTTCCTCCCACCCTGGCTACCTCCCACACATCAGATATTTGACAGTCCCCTCCTTATCTGCTTTTGCTGCCAGGTGGTCTGGCATTCACTTATCATGGCCTCAGAGGACTCTATGCAGCACGGGGGATTGGAAAAAACAAACCAAATTCTTCTTCTGAGCCAGGCAGGTAGGTCCCAAGGTGCCTGTCCTCATTACAGAGATTGCTGGGGGAGCTGGATCCAGCTGGCAGAGGTTTCTCATTAGGATGGCAAGGCTGCAAATGTGAAGCTGGAGGGAAAGTATGTAGCTGTTGAGCAGAGGTGGCCTTGAGGCTGGGGTTAAAGAGGTGGTGGAAAGACTTTTTTTTTTTTTTTTAAATGATGTGCTTAGCATTGTGGGGTTTTGTTAGTTGTGGAAGCAGCAGCTCATCTTTGGGTGTGTTTGGGTTTGTTTGTATTCCCCCCCTCCTTCCCCTGCTCTAAAGACATTATACTCTTGCAAGTGTTAAATTTTGACTAGTTCTAGCATAGACTTAGGACAGGAAAAAGCCTGTTTTAGGGCTGCTGGAGTCTGGATCTCATGCAATATGTGGGAGTTGTGCTCCAGCTATTTTTCTATTAAGTATATGAGGAAAACCAGGGAGAGTGGGAAGAGCTCAGACTCCGCTTATTTTTGTGCTAGCAAACAGTGTAGCTCTGGCAGAGGGGAAAAGCTTTGAAGTGTTGACCTGGTGTGTGAAGGTCATGGGTAACTCCTGGCAGTGTTTTCCATCTTAGAGGTGTCACAGACATATAAGAAGGTGGTTGAGAACATGGGCTGCTGATACAGCCCTTTTGACTGGAAATAGTAGATACCAATAGAATAAAAATAGGGGAAATAAATAAGATGGGGGGCAATAACAGAAGCTTTAGGGGTCTTGGAGACCTAGTGCTCCAGGTCTGCCAGCCCTGCAGAAGCTCTTTCTTGTTTAACGTGGTTGGCCCTGCTGCCTGTGTGACAGCTCCCCGAGCAGCTGCTGGGCTGCCTGCGGCGCTTTTACAAAAAGCACTTTGTGGGGCTAGTTGCGAGCTATGCAGCACTCTTACAACTGCACAATATTTACTCGTTGGCATTGCTGGGCCAGCTGGAGCATTATACACACAGCCATGCGTCTTCCCAGAAGCCGGTGAGGCATGTGTTTGCACATCCAAGGCAGCTTTGCTTGGAGTGCGACTCCAGCGTGATTATTTCAGCGGGTTCTCCCTCCCTTGGCTTTGTGCACAGAAGGAGATGTGTTCTGTGTGACTCGGCCAAAAATGGCCAAGCTCTGCTCTACGTAAATTTCGAAGGATCAATAAGTCTAGCAGTTGCACTTACTCCGTGACAAATGGCGATAACCACTAGCTGAGGGAGCAATCAGCTGATGAGCCATCTTCCTTGTGTCCACTGGCTCCTGGTGGCTCTTTGCTCTGGTGGTACCTGCCAGACCCAGCGTTGCCTCCACGCCAGCTGACCGCAGGATCTGTAAGGAATTGCTGCTGCTGTATCTGCTGCTGGCTGCGTGTGGCAGGCTGGTGGTGGTGCCTGGCTGCACGTGGCCAGTCCGCATTGCAGCTCCTGTTTCCTAAAGCATATGCCTGGGTGGAGTTGGATTTAAAATGTGAAAATAGAAAAGGATATCCACACAGGTGAAATAATAACGGGGAGAAAAAGAGAGGAGTCTTTTAGTCCTCAGCTTTGTAGCTAAGTTCAGCCGAGGGCATAGGAAGCTGGGCAAACACAAATGAACTTCAGGCTTCAAAACCAAGCCCACCTCGCCCATCCTTATCCCCGTCCATTGCAGGGAGGTTTAAAATCTCCGTGAAGAAAAAAGATTATCGTTGAGTCAGGCCAATAGCTGCGATGCTGGCTGCCTGCCCCTGCCAGCCTGCTGCACAACTTGTGTGCTAATGTTTGGATGTGAGCGGTGGGAAATGAGTGTCAGCCTGTACTCTCTTCATGCACCATTGAGCTGTGCTTATGGTTGCTCTTGGCAGCACCAAATCATTAAACAGATAAAACCATCAGTCTTTTTATTTCCAAACATTAACCTAACTGCTAATAAAGCACAGCCCATGTCATCCTTATGGGCTCTGCAGAGCTGAGTCACACTGGAAACAGGATCCGAACGCGAGGAAACGCCTCGGCCTCCTTCCTCACACCTCCTGCGTGAGCAGAGCCCGCCTGGAGGAGCTTCACCTCGGGCTTTGAGTGCAGGAGCCGTGTGGGGATGCTGGCAGAGATGGGCTCAGGCTGTGAGCTGTGAGATGGGGTGTGGGTGCCCTGCCTCCCTGCCTCTCCTCTCGCTCCCAGCACCCAGCAGAAAGCGCCTCTCAGCCCCACAGGCAGGGAGCTGGAGTCATTCTCCCTCTCGGTGGACTTTGCCCTCGGTGGCTGAACGTCTTTTTCCCCAAACATCTCCCAGCAAAACTGGAGGGGTTTTGTAAATTCATTATGTCACAGAGGAATCTGTTTAATCAGCTGCCTTTCCCCAGAGGCGCTTTACACTTAATGAGACACTTGATGGAAGGAATCAGAATTGGTTTGTACAAGTTGAGCCTCAAACCCCCCAGCTGATGTACTCCTGAGAGCGCTGTGATTTAGAGGAGCAAACTGAGAGGCCGAGCAGTTATCACCCTGTTTGTACAGTCAGTGGGAGAGGTGAGAAGTAAAACCTAGAGCTCTGCACTGCATCCTTCCTTTCCTAGGTATCGTCACGATAAATAGCAAAGGTCTCCATGCTACCAGGAGCCTGGTCTGTGCCCCTGGTGTGACTTGCCAAGCACTCTTCCTCCCCAGCACAGTTTGCCAGATAAGCACAAGGCATATCCTCGTTTAGCTTACCTATGGCTGAAGGTGTCCAACTAATTCAAAAAGTATCCAAATGAGGAATATTGCATGTACGTGGGAACGGCATCAAGAGCCTTGTGAGCTAGGTAGTAGGACCACAGAGCTGGAAAATGTAGCAGTTCCCACTTTAGGCTCAAAATCCATTATTAAAGTCTTCATGCAGGGGTTAATGTAGAAAGAAAGGGCACATCTTTGTTCCCTCTGCTTGTTTGCTTTCTCCAGCTGCCCATGCTATGCTGAGTCTTGGGTTAATGTGTGGCCTGCCTTCGTAGCACGGTGTAGGCTGGTGTGGCAGCTTTCCTGCTACCAGGCTACAGGTTCAGGTGCAGGGGCCTCAGAAACCTCGCTCTGAAGGACCCTCCACAGACCTGTATGTAATGTTGTGCCCTTAGAAACATGCCAAGTATTTTATTACTGCAAAGTAATTCCCTTTCCAGTATTTCATTAGCCTTCATCTTGTAGCTTTTTTTTTTTTTTTTCTTATGCTAAGTAAAGACTAAATTATTTGGAAGCCGATTTTTTAGCAACAGCAGAACTCTTTCCCTGCAGAGGAGGGGACCAAGACACTCTGCTGGGAGTGGAGGGGTGATTCATCCCCTGGTTTTCAGTCCTCCCAAGCAGCCAGCACCTGTGCCAAGGCTTTTTGCAACGCTGCCCTGCTGCACCCCTCAGGTGGCTTTCAGGGAGGTGAAAGCCAAAAGCCAGAACCTGCAAAATCACTGGCTGCTTTCTGATCTGCTCTGGGTGCTAGCACTCTGAATGTTGGACAGCCCTATATTATGAAGATACTGTCCCAAATTACACCCCAGAGCTTCATTTATTGAAAAAAAAAATGGAATTTCACAAGGATGAATCCGTTAAATTACCTGTCCAGGCATCCAGATGCACACCTGAGGCATCTTTTCTCACTGGAGCTCTATTTAAAACTTTAGTGGTTTATTACTCATCCGTGCATAGTTTATAATTCAGTTCTGTGTAATTGCTTGTTTCTGGGATATAGGTATTTAGATTTTGATACAGCTAAAATACATGGTTTGTGTTAACTTTTTAAAATACATAGCTTAGAATTAAAAAATAAAGTATTTTTCTCACAAAGATGACATGTAATGGATGGTAAAGTTGATGTATGTTCATCACAACGCATTTATTTTACTTTCAGCTGCTACAATTTATAGTTTATGTAATGTGTGCATATGAGGGTTTTTAATATAAATATGGGTTTGTAAGAGTGCCACTTAGCATAGGTCTTTAACACATTATCTAGAGATTATTTATGGACCATTGGCATCTTTCCTTTCCTTTTTTTTTTTTTTTTTTTTTTGGTTAAAGTTTAAAAGGACTGAAGATGAAAGCATAATTTAGCATGGAATTGATTTTACATCATCTGGTTTTACAAGAAATAATATTAAAGAATTGCGTTGTCATCTCTTGCTGTGAAGTTGCATTATGTTCTGTAGCCTTGGCTCACTTTTAATCCTTCAGTAACGCACACTTAATTGTTCAGCAAATGACATAACATGTGAAGAAATAATACCTAGAAGGTGATTTATATCTCTTCAGGCAAAGACACTGAGAACTGGATCATTTGCCTTTGTTATTCATACCGGAACAGAGAAAGAGCCATAGGATCTGAAAACTGTGGTCAGTTCAGACACCAAACGTATTCAAAATGCAACCTGGAAATAAAAGGTATGTCTGCTCTATCAGTCATGCTCAAACCTTGTCTTAATACTAAAGACACACTCGATGTATTTACATAGGCATCCTGTGGAGGAGAGGTTCCTGGCGGCTCTGAACTCGTGTATGCTGGGAAGGTCAGGCTCTGGTGGGACCACCAAAGCCCAAGAGTCACCAAAAGAAGCAGACCTACAGCCAGGTAATTACAGTCTGATTCTAGTGGGATACAGAGACACTGAGCCTGCAGGACTTGTAGGGAGAGAGGGGAGGAGGGGCTGGATAAAGAGGAGTGATTTTTACAACAGATGGGGTTTCCCACTATATCTACCTGGACTAGCAAAGCCACCTTGCCAACACAAGCGTCGGTTCACAGGTTCCTAGATAGTGGTTAGAAGTGGTGGAGAACACAGTGTACTAGAAATAGTTTTAAACAACTGGTTCTCCCACAGCACAAAGATTGCCTCCAGCCCAATCCCAAACTTTGGCATGCCAGACTTTGAGTCTCCCCAAACACAGCATGAATTAAAGATGGACTGCTGCTAAGATCACTAGAGTATGTAAATTGTGTGGCTCTTTATAATTACATCTCCTTGTGTCTGCTCTCTGCCTTGGAGGACAAAGGGTACAGATCTGCTGCAACCTGCTGTAGAGGTTAGAACCAGCTCCGTCCCTTTGTTCTCTCTTCAGCCTCCAGAAATAGCTGAAGTGCAGAAACCTGGTCTCCACCATCTTCCCTGACTGCATGGGTCATTTGTTTAATTAATTCAAACTCACAGCATTTATTTTTATTGCAACTCCATCACAACCATTCCCTTTGCCTTTTCCCCAAAGTAATTAAAAAAAATAAATAAATAAACTTTTTTGCAGAAGCAAATTAGGAGAGAGATGTATTAGAAATAGGACTGTCAGCAAAACAGGCTGCCAGGTATGCCTTACACATTTCACAGGATCAAGGCTTTAATGATGTTGCATATTAGCATTTTGCACGTGCAGCACATTGGCTTGCCATATCTTTTGGATTTATTTGATTATTCTTCTTTCTGTGACATTTTTTCCTAGTCCCCTCTATTCCTCACCTTTTCCTTTTGTCAGGAAGAAAATAAGCACACTGTATAGAACAAAGTGAAATATCCTGAGATTGCATGAAATGCTGTCCCCAGAAGGCACTCCTCGGAAAGTGTTACGGCAACAGTAACCTAATTCAGCCGACTCTCTGAAGTGTCTCACATGGTATAGGCCAACTGGCTGTAAGAGGTTCAAAGCTCATTCACGAGTTCAAACCTTGTGTGCCATCTACACTGGCTGCATGCTAGGCTCTAGAAGATGTCTGAAGGGAAGTGCCCAAGTTCCCATTTAGGTGTTCTGGATGAGTCAGGCATGGGCAGACCACAGATCAGGCTACCAGCATGTTCAGAAAGACCTGAGTTTCATTTATAGAGTGTGAATGCCCGAAAGCAAACTACCTACATGATATACAGAGGAGCTAAAAGCTGACAGTAGAGAAGGAAGGTTGGAGGAGTGGATCACAGAACTCCCAATACTCTTCTCCTCACAAGGCTTTCAAACAAAATGGGATTTAAAAACCTTTCCAGGTTCTTGGCTTCAGTATGGGACAGTCCTGAAACCCCACAGAGAATCCTTAATTTTGCTGATTTTGTTGATTCGTCTGCTTTGAATCAGCAAGCTGCATGGTAACAATATAGTGAGGGTCTCTTGTTTAATGTGATTCAGGTGCACAGTTGCTTCTTGCTTACATTTCTATGGGAAGCAAAAGTTGAGAATCTTTTGCTTACAAAATGGTGGAAAAGCAGAGAAATTAAGAGCCATGAGGAAATGTCTGGGAACTGCTGGCAGTACAGTTCAGGAAGGAAAGCACAGGGTGTTATGCTGTTCCTGTGTATGGTCATCTGTTGTATTAGCTACAAACTCTGTGGACCTTAACGATGTCTCCTTTGAATTCAAAAATCCTGTAACTAATCTGAGTCATTTGCACAGCTGAACAGACTCAAGGTCTCTTAAGTAAATTGGAAATACCTATAATTCTGCAGGAAATTAGAGAACAGTTAGGTAGTCCCATAGCAGAGGAAGAAATAAAAAGGAGTCATAAAACCTCTGGTCTCTGGGAAAGCTCTGGGTGAAGATGACTTTCTAATAGAATTTTCAAAACTCTTTCAGTCTCACTTGGCTCCTGTCATACGGAAAACATTTCAGAAGGCCAAAGAAAAAGGGTTCCATTTCAGCATTAATTGCAGTGTAGGGTTTTCTTAACTCTCTTTCCTAGGAAATAACTCATTGATGCACCATTTGCAATAATTAAATTACAGGCCAATTCTTTTGACTAATGTGACTCAGAAGACATAGGTTAAAATAGCATCCAGAACATTTCTAACTGCATACCTTATGGACGAGAATTTAGCATATATCTTGAGGTTCACATTAATCAGAAAGCTGCTACAGAGTCTATAGGCCTGTTATTATAATTTGCTATTTTTAAAATTCTCTGAAGTAATCAGAAAATCAACCAGCTCAACATCCCTAAAGAGAGCTGCTTCCCACCCACCAGCAGCGGCTGACTTCACTGTTGACATAAAAACCATGAAGATCTCAGTCTAGTATTCTGCCATGTAATTGTATCCTTAATTTTGGCCTTGTTGAAAGTCTGCTGGAAAACTGAGCTTGTGTGTCCTCATTAGAAGCAATTCATATGTAAATCATTGAAGATTTTCTTTTAACTTGAAGAAAGAAAATGTCCCTGTGACTCAAACATTCTGCAGGCTCTTGCTCCTCTTGTGGTTCCCGTGTGGCTGTGACTCTTGGCAAACCCAGTGCAGCGTGAGAGGGTTGCTGGCCACACTCTTGGCTGCTCTTGCCTTAGCTGCTGGGGAAAGCATCTGTCAAGAGACATTACCTTTTGGCAACCTTGGCTTAGTCATTGAAAGGACACGAGGTGAACTACGCTATCTTCTGCGCTCTTGTGCCTGGCACATACCCACAGGAGGTGCTTCCCTTCTTTGGTCAATACTAGCCATCTAGAATCAGCTTTTCTCCATATTAGAAGACTTCGTTTTTGCTCTTTTGTATGTAAAAGTAAGCTGAAGGGGCAGCTTAGCAGTAGTGGAATAACATCCTAGTGTTAAAAGGGAGTAACTTGGAAAATACATTAAGTAAGAAAATGTTAGATGAGTTCTCTGCACAATAAAATTTATAAATACAAAGTAACAGCCGAGTGCTTGTGCAACTTTGAAGTTTGAGCACCTATTTTTTCTGAGCATTTCTGTATTTGGAAATGGAAGTTATCATAAGTATACTATTGAATATGTTGATATCAGTTTGAAGGAATAATGAGTCCTTGCCATGATTTCTGTGCTCCTCAGTTGGATGAGCTCAGTCCATTCACATTCTTAACTGTTCCTGAAATATAACATATCTGAGGTATTTGTCTGTAAGATAGGTGGGTCTTGATGCTTATGAGTAAATTCCAAACTATTGCAGAAGGTGTTCAGAGAATCCTTTTGGCATCTTCTTGTAGATATAAAAATCCAGAAGAGTAGGACTAGGTAGCAGATGATAAAATTCAAGACAACTAAAAATTGTGTCAAAACCCTGTTTTCTGTTGTATAAATAATTCTACATGGAAAGGTTAAAAACAAAAACTGGAGTCCAAGGTAATCTATGAGGCAGGTAATTGTTTATTGTTCGTGACATGTCCAGTTCGTTGCAACAAAAAATGACGGCTGCTAGAAATCTGACCTTGTGCCCAGAAATTGTGTAAAAGCACAGCTGGCCCTGTCTAGGCTGGAAATCTTTAAAACTCATGGCACAGACTTTATTTTGAGAGAGTATTTAGCTTTAAAAATGAATAGGGGCTGCGTGTTCCAAATGTCACCTGTCAATTTAACAAATGGCAACTATATACGCATCTTAATGCCAGATTGCTGTTTCATTAGGCTCATTGTGGGTTATCACTCTGGAGGAACTGGCATTATTCTAACAGGAGCAGCAGAAATACAGGAGGGCAGAGGCTCCTCATCACTGTTGCTGCTCAGCTACATGGTGCAGCTGTGTATGGCTTTTGGAAGGCAGCAAGGGAGAAAAAGGGCACAAACTGGAAAAATGTGCAGCAGGATGGAGAGGGAGGCATGTGCTTCAGTGTGGCTGCGTCGAACTCAGCATAGCACCAGCCACCAAGGTGTCCTTCAATTAGTTTTGTAACTAACTCAGCATGCAGGAAAAGTCCTGCTGGCTGCTGAAGAGCCCTGTCTAACAGTGGTCTGAAACATGAAATGAGCAGGCAGGTGGCTCCAAATGGGGGCATTCTGTAACCCTGTCTTAGGGTATAGATAGCAGGAGGATTTAAGAGTTGCCCTACCTTGGATACACCATGCAGGACTGAACCAAACGAGCTGCCAGGTCAACACAGTGAAGGGAACAAGCACTGAGGAAACAACCATGATTCAGGTGAAGATGGGGAAGGGATGCACCTGAGCTGATCTGCTTGGCCCAGCTCCAACCCACCGAAAGGCAATTCCCTAGCTGCCCTCTGCTGCACAGGAGAGCAACAGTTCTGCAAGGACTGTGGAAATCCATACTTTGAAGCTCCCCAAGCTGCAGCTGCCCACGCCAAAGCTGCCAGATCTTCCTGGTGGTGGAAACACTACTGAAATGCCCTGCAGTGTATGTAACCAAGGTTTTTTCGCCACCATTGCAGAGAGCTTTCAGCCCTCCCTGCTGCAAGTGGCAGCTCAAACATCCTGGTGGAGCTCCCTGACAGGATAAACGCTGGACTATTAAGAAGTGCACTTGCCAGGTACTGGTCTGAGTGACTCATTCAGGCTGCTACTGCTGCTGCCAGCACAAGGGCTGCACAACATGACTGGAAATAAGTTGCAGAGGATGAGAAAATGGATTTCTTAGAAAAGAATTCCTCGCTGTCTGCAGGGTTGGGTTTAGCACTAACAGACTGGCCACGACACAAGTGCAGGGTTTCCTTGCTGGGTAACTCTGAGTTCACAGGTGAGGCCAGAGCACGGGAAGGCAGCTAGGTAATTTTGTTCCCAGGCTAAACCTACTTTGTTCTCCTGTACCACAGCATTCATGGGAGTTCACTCGGGGATTTGTAAATCCCAGATTACACAATTTACTCTTGCCCTGTTCCACAGCACTCCAGCAGGAAGCTGCTTCTCCCTGGGAGTCCCCCAGCTCCAGACGGCGGTCACAGCCACAGCAGAGGGGCCGCTGCCATCCCCTGCACGCCAACACGCATCCCGTAGGGCGAGGGGTAAGTGTGCTGCTGTACTGAGCACCTTGCTGGGAGTCCTCTGGGAAAGGGAAATTGCTCAGGGCCCTCACAAAGCGCTGGCCTGACCCATCTGTGGAAAGGCACCAGAGGGGGGCTGCTGGAGATTTCAGAGCAGTTTGCCATGAGGCCACAGACTCCTCCAACTTCTTTTCTTAGTCAGACCAGGTGATAGTCAAATTTGTCCAGATGTAGGTTTGCAGGGAGAGAGTATGTAGATACATGTACTTATTTTCATTTCACTCTCATTAGGTGTGTGGAAAAAGCTGGTAAGCTATTGAACTCAGTGTCCCCACAGTTTGTTGTTTAAAAGCTGGCCTGTTTTTTCCAACTGTATCATTTGGCTTAGCAAAAGATATTGCCTCTCCCTACAAATCTTGTTTCTCTCACCCAGTATGGCTGCACTGATAATGGCAGCTGTTTATAACCTCACAAATTAATGCAGCTTTAATGGCTACCTCTCAGACTTCAAAAGGAGAAAGTAGGAATCAAAGTCATGTCAAAGTTTATTACACCGCTTCCTTTTTGCAGAGAGAGCTCTGAAGATTACAAAAGTGCCCCCAAAAACCTTCCGCCATATGTAAATGTGAAATCCTGACACCATAAAAATTGGTGGCTGAACAATCCCTCCCCAACAGTGCTAGCATCTGAGTCATTTCTCAATTTCAGAAACTGCCCCTACTTCATCCAGCAACTCGAGCAGCCCACACAAGCACCACACGAGCTGGAGCTGTGTGTAAGTGCAGCTGAGGTCTCTGCACCTCTCTTCAGTGGTGAGGAGCCCAAGTTGCTGCCCTGGTTCCCCGCTTGCACAGACAGGGAAGGGCAGAGTTAATTACACCATGCCACACGTTCAGGTCTACAGAGCCCTTCATTTCATGTTATCACCCTTTTTTTAACCGCTTAGATTTTCAAAAGACAAAAGTAAGGCACCATGTAAAAACATCGCTATGGAAACATCACAGGCTCACTTGCACTTGACTGCCAAGCGACTACCTAACTGAAGTTTTACATCCTATTGGATCACTGCTGGCCATCTGCTCTCCTTCAAACTTCTCTGAGTTCTTTATATCCCTGAAAAGTTCATTTTTAGAAAGGAAGGAGGAGGAGGCAAGGGGAGAATCCGGCATTCTTGGCTATCATAGAGCTATTGTGAAAAAGGAAGATAAACTCATTTTGGGGCAGCCCCTTAAAAAGACAAAGATCCATGTTTTGTGAAGTAATTTTGTAGAAAACACCCTGTTTTGAGATGCACTTTAATGATAAGGGTATATATTGGCAGCCACAAGGCAAAACAAACAAACAGCTGCTTCTAGTACTCCAGCACTAATTGTCTTCCTCTCTCCTTCTCTCGTTTAGTGTCAAATGTATTTTCTTCTAAAATGTAACAGTTACTGCCTACACTGGAGTTGTTGGCTGCAGGCTCCCCAGTCTTGCTCCAAATAAAACACAGAAATAGATTTCCTGCCAAGCGCTGGGGAAGTTTGAAGACTTTAGTTTTTAAAAATATAATCTTTTTATCAGTGCCCTGAGCCTGCCAAAGGTAATTATGGGCCATGGCGCATTTACATTAATGCATAGGACCTACAGACATTTCAAAAGCTTAATGGAGAAACTCCATAAATGTACATATTGAAAAATAAATTAATTAAACTGTCATGTAAAGATATCACTTAATTTCGCAGAGCGGAAGGCGCTCTTAATAGGAGTGGAATGGATCAGTGAGCATTTCAAAACCCAAAGCTATAATTTAAATTCAGCCTCTCTTCTAGTGTGCAAGTCACAAGACATATTTATTATAGCCTTGGATTGTCATTGTAATTGGTTTAGCAGAGACAAAGCCGTGTTGTTTTGCTTCCTTGCCCTCCTAGCTGGGTCAATATATTTTGATGTCAGACTATTGACAAGCAAACCAAATGCTGAAATAAAACCATGCATGCCTGTGATGAACTGGCAAAAATACTGTCCAAGGTAAATGCAGTGCCGAAGCCGACGTATTTATTTATCAAGTAGCAAGGGAAAAACTGCGATGTGAGGCATTTAAACCTCTTTAAGTAAACCAGTTGAATATATTTACTGCTGCTCTCGAGGCCTGCTATGCAGCAACAGACACAGATACAAATAAGTAAAAGCATTGTGAAAATGAATAGCAGCATTTATAAGCTGCTGCTCTGGGTTTTCCAGGTGGCAGCAACAATTAAGGTTGTTGCACTTGACACTCTTTTAGGGCTAGAGCCAAAGCCTCAGGTTCAGGCCCCTAACAAGCAGACAGCAACACTTCTTCCAGGTTGTGTATCAATCAGCTATTGATTCCTGGGGTGCCTCTGGCTTGGTTTGCTGCAAGATCTTATTTGGTAGCAAGTTACAAACCAAGCCTATGCTTGTGCAGCCACGAGCAACTGTCTCCTTCTTGCTAAATAAGCAATTCGACAACAGTTTAATTATTTTTTCTGACATTCTTCTTTCTCTATTTCATTAATAGTGTTTCTTGTAAGTTCATTTTCTGATCTGGGCCAGCAAAGTTGGCCAGTTGATCTGGTTGTAACAGTGGTGGCCACCTTCTGCCTTCCTCCAGCCCATGTGAGGAGGATGGCCATGGAGATGTTACTCTGAGCCTGAACCAAGAGCTGGCTGCCCAGGATCTCAGACGTCCTTCCTGTGAAGCATTCAGGTTTGTGAATCTTACTCTGAACAACACTGACAAACTCAAAAGTTACTGTAGGAGTTTAAGGGGGTTGTGTACTCCGTCTTCTTGATGCATAGTACAGGAAAACGTGTTTCTGAGAGAGGGAAATAGGGCCAAACAAATTATGGCCCAAGCTTGGAACAAGACATCTCACTATCTGGCCTCGAGAAGGCTCAGATCAGACAAAGCAGTCACCTGCTCACAGAAAATAATTGGAATGATTTCCCCTTCTGAAAAGGCTCTTGGTCTGTTCATACTTAGGAAGAGCTGCAACACCTCTGAGACAGGAACAACTGCCCCAGGCACACCTCTGAAGGCAGTGGCAGGCAGAGGCAAATAGCACCAGCCTCTCTGGGTGCCTGCCAACAAGAAAAGCAGCAGGAGCTGACACTGCCATTGTGGGAGCTTTTTTTCAACATGATCCTTTAGCAGTCCGTTCCCCAGGATAGTTAACTATTATACTTAAACACCATGCATCTGCATGTGTCTCCCAATACTACTGCTACCGCAAATAGTAAACAGGATCATCTTTTGTATCTTTTCTGTAATACATCATTTTTTACCTTGCTGTGCTCTTCCTCTTTCTTGTCCATTATCTAAAATGCATGCTGTTATCCCTGATTGCTCTTCAAAGAAATTTTTGACACCCTCTTCAGTCTCCCTGAGCTCTGAGCAGGACTTACACTGTTTTCTAAATGTCAGGTCACCATCGGTTCCTGTTAAAAAAAGTATTTTTTATTCCACACGTAAGGATTGTGGAATTGGACGCAGCTTTTAAAATGCTTTCTTCTATTACCAATAATCTGTCTGCTTTTTTATGTGGCTCCTACTGTCATAATATGCAAATATCAACACCATTCTTCTTTGTAACAACACAGTGGGGAAAGAAAGTGTTCTTAGTCACTCTGCAGAAGAACAGGTGCCAAGAGACTTAGGTTCTGGTCCAGAACAATATGTGGGCTCCATTTCCTACTGCCATTGGTGTCTGTGACAGTCTAGAAGTCTAAAGTCTTCATTTAATTGGACTTTTTCAAGATATGAAAAAATTATAGTCCAGATGAGAATTGAATATATGTATCTGTATGCATAAATAGCTACCTTGTATTACTAACCAAACACAGTAACCACAGGTGTGACCATTTCTTGGTCACAGTCTTTAAAAATGGTCTTTTCCTAAATAGCTTTCCCACCATCGCTGTCTGTTTCATGAGCCCTTGCAGCTCTGAAGGTGAAAGAATCTCTGTTTGTAGTCGTAACTACTATTGCTTATGGAGGGGAAAATACCTGAGTGTTGTAAGTAATGGTCATGGGGTCAGGAGGACAGGATAGGTCACAGATGTAACTTAAGGGGCTTACGTTAAAGGAAGAGTATTTCTAAACTCTGAGATTAGATATTACGGTAAAAATGCTCCTTTCCCTTTTCACTGTGTAAACAGTAAGTAAGCACAAAAAAATATAAATTCTAGCTTATTAGGAGCAATGGTAACAAAGTAATGATTTTAATGCACTTAAAAAAACCACACCACTGAACATATTCATTTGAAATATCTAAAAGGTTTAATTGTACTGAATTTTTATAGTCATAGAATTCTAAACCACTCTTCCACATTAAAAAAAAAAGTTAAAGCATTTCTCAAATTTCTGAATATCAATGATTTAAACTACATTTCATGTTTAAGATAACTATCCACTAAGAGCAACATAATCAAGACTGAACTGGGCTTGTATTCTTAATTCATTAGTGGAACTGCAAGGCCCTCTTCTGGATTATAAATTACTGCACGGCCAAGCAAAGTACATGGAAATGACAAAACCAACTAGCACTATGAAAAGATACAGTATCTCAGATATTTTATTCATTCTATTAGCAATTTCCTATCCTTGTGTTGACATGTATCTGACCATTTTAACTAATGTAATGTAGTAGCTGAGAATGACTCGTAGCAGATTCTGAATGATAAAGCATTTCTTGTGCTAAAGTGCTAATATTCATGAGAGGAGTGGATAGTCTGATGAGATTTCACATTCTCCACAACTTTGTATGAAAATGCTGCTGTATGAAAAGCCAAGTGATGTCTGTTTATGTTTATTAGCAATAGCATGTGCAAATTGAAACATGCTGTTTTGCATATATTCTTGTCTAGATATCTATATGACTTCTAGAACCTGTTTGAAATTTTGGTGTACGCTAGAGGGGGTGTAAACAACAATGAAGAACTGTTACAACAGTCTTATCTCAAATCTTCAAGGACCATACAGTGCCTTAGAGTCTTTTGATTAAACATATGCACCAGAACTGTGAAGGCCTTACAAATGTAAGCTTCCGAGAGATTTACGTACCTGCCTAAGCAAACATTTGCTATTGAAAAGCAAGATGCTTCTCCAGACAGATGAAAATATCCTAGAATGTGCTGTACAGAATGGCTTCATTTTAGTGGATCCATCTGGCTGTAAATATCTCAACCTGAACCATAAATCTTCCCCTCACCTCAGAACAGTCACTTATTGTTCTGCTTGGTAATATATATTAACAAGAAATCACAGACATGGGCACAGACGCAGGAACAGGTAGTATCTTATTAGTAAAAACACCACATAGAACATATTTAACATAGTTTAATTTGACCATACATTCTGAAAAAGAAGGATGCTGAAGAAACCTTTGCATATAATGTTTTTGTAAACTTCTGTTTCACATCAGCGTAGGCCTACTTACGACGATCTTTTTTCCGTACTTTTGATTTTGGTGCTACCATGAAGAAACAGAAAGGGAGAAAAAAACATCAGAAGTGAATTGCAAAATATGTGTGCCAGCATTTAAGTTGGGAACAAAATAGATCCATTAATGTGAAACCTACCATTAGGATTTTCTTGTCTGTAGAAAGCTTTTAACAGTTCCACTGCTTCTTTGGCGTAATAGCCAGACATGCACTGTTCAAATTAGAATAATGTTTATGAGTGCATCTGAAAATAACATAGTCCATGCTTCAAAATAATGCCTTAAGTATAGAGTAATTGTAAACAACTGTACTGTCTATTCCGCTAACTTAACATGTGCCTTTAACTATTTGGGGGTCAGAAAATCATCTTTCCAGGCAGAATACCTAATGTATTTTAAAAATACAATGTTGAGGCTCAGCAGAATAAGCCATTTCCCTAGTAACTTAAAAGTTAGATAAAACTCTATTACAAATTAGTGCATAAAAATATTACTTAAGTTACTTCCGTGCATTTTCAACTTACACCATATACTTGGCAAGCACTTGGAAATGTAAGAGATGTACGTTTGGGTATTTGTGGAAATTACCGGAAAACATTCTTTCACACACCATTTTTTATTTCTAATAGTTCCTCTTAGACCTTTTTGGTCCTTCCAAAATATTTTTCCCATCCATGAACACTGATGACAAAGCATTTAAATGTCACTAACACTAAAGGAAATCCCCATCCGCAACAGAAAGGAATTCATTACACCTATACATCCCATTGCAGCTGCCTAAAGAAACAAATGAAGGATCTGTAGTTATCATAAATCTCCTTTCTTTCCTCTGAACATATAGAAAAATTAAATATCACGTGCCAATGTGAGCAAATGAACGCTCCTGCAGTATGGACAATACTAATTAATTCAGATGATGGTCTCACAAACACCCTGCCAGAAAGATGCTTACTTAATATGTTAGCAGAAGACTGCCAAACGGTATTGTCTTGGTGACTTAAATTCTTTCTGAACCTAGAGCCTTTAGTGTTTATTTACAATGCTGAAATGTATTACCTTTTACATTCATTAAATCATAAATGTTAAGTGCAGAAAAAAATTCTAAGAACCCTAATCTTAAATGACAAAGATGTCTCTTTCTCCTCACTCCATTTCAATACTTCAGTATCCTTATGGTTCAGAAAAACTTCCTGATACCTAAACCTCTGCCACTTTTGCAGTCCATATTTATTTTGGGATTTGAACTGTATGAAGTCAATCTAAGGTAACACATTTCACCTCATGTATGAATAAACCAAGAGCACGAATACAATCACTTCCAGTGGCTCAGCTAAAAAAAATAACCTAGTAAATTGCTGTTACCTGATCTTTATTGATTATATGTTTATATATTCTACAGCTTAAAACAATTTTTCCCTTGTCTCCTTCTGTAGCTGTTACTGTTCTGAGTACTGCTCATCTTTTAGATATACTTATTCTTTACCTTGTACCATGAGTATAATTCTTTCCTCTCCTCTTTGATGCATCCTTTTAAATAATTTATGATTCCCAGGCTTTCCCTAAATTTTCTTTTCTTTAAGGATTTACAGTTCTTTCGTTAAGTCAAGTTTCCTTGACATCTTATCGTCTTTCACCTGAAACCCCTTAAACAGCTCCATAACATTCTCAAAGCAGAGTACCCTAAGCTAGGCATAGTACCCTAGCTGAAAACAAAGGAAAACGTTTTATAGCTTACTTCAAATGGTTCTCCTGTGTCTACCATATCATCAGATGAGATGCTCAAAACTGAGCCACAGCCTCCAAATCGCTCGTTTTGACAGCCATATACGACCCGTGGAATTTATGTGAATGAGTTAAGGTATTAAGTGAAAACCAAGCAGGAAGTAAAGTAGCCTGATTAAAGTAGTCATTAAATTTCACTAAAATGTGCTTGTACTTTTCAAACTAAATTAGTCTGCACTGTAATTCGTCCCTCCTAAAATCGGAACTTATTTCTGAATAGTCTAAGATGCACTGCTGAAAATCCACAACATTCCTCAGAAGCATGAATCCCAAAACAGAGGCATACAAAACCTTGTTTTACTACCTCTTACACTGTTCAGAACTGAACACTGAACTGAGACTAGCTGATTTTATGTAATAACAGATATTTCTAAAGCATATTTTTATATCCCTAAGAGAAATCATTGTTTGTCGAAACTGCTCTTTTGTTCTTGAATCTCTCCTTACTTACCGTGCAGTAAATGGAGGATGGCACAGACTCTCAAGCAGTAAGATGGTAACCTTGTTGGCTTTGCCTGACAGTGTCAAGCCCCTCTCTGTAGGCTCAATACCAAACGACTGACATTTGGACGTGTGGTTTCCCAGCATGAGAACCATTAAAGGATACTCATCAAGCGCACTGCAGCCGCACACATGATGCAAGGCTCCACGGTTACGTACAACACTGAGTTTGAAAACACTTCCTCGTGATTTTTATTGTTTTGCTGGCACCAGTCCAGGACCTGATCAATTGCCACCATTTCTGCATGTCGAGTAGGCTAGGACATAAAAATAAACATTTTCTTAAAGTTTGTATTGATTCACAGCTTGGAACTTCTCACTTATACAGACACAATGGAAACAGAATACAGTGCCATAAAATTATTCGTTCAAGTCAAAAGCACAATAGCTGATGTCTAATTTATTAGTAGTGCGATTATTTTCACTTCTGTTGAAGAAATAACACAAGGTTTTCTTGAGAAGGCTCATGTTAGCACACCACTTCGCTCTTCAAGTTGCAGAAGAGATTTTATGAGAAAACATTTCCAATTCTGTGCAGCCCAAACTGCAGAAGAAATACTCAACCCAAGGAAGAATACATTTAACTTCAGTCTCATACGCAGCATACACAAGATCCACAAGCTCAAACCTGTTCTTTCTTCTACCTGTTCATAGAGAGAGGAGCCTGCTTGGAAATTCTCCTCTATCAAGCCAGCATAAGAAAAGCTCTATTTGCAGATCATGGGACACAAAAAAACCACTAGAACAACTCATCCAGCCCACAGCTTGCTTCCAAGACCAAGGATGCAGGTCAGGTGAATTTCTCTGGCAACAGTAAGAAACTGCTCTCAGCTGGTACCTTTCCCTCTGACAATTTTAGTGTGCATGCACAGAACTGAATATATGGTAATAATTTATTACCATATAATAAATTATAAATTAATAATTTCAGTGCATTTCTGGAATTTGTTGGCCTGCTCTGGTAGGCACAGCACTTTCCGTTTGCATGAGGTTTAACACTGGCCAGGAATGCATACGTACACAGCAAGTCTCACCTAACAGGCAGGGACTGCAGCACATGCCTGATTACAAGGATATTGATTTCTCTTTTTTCAATCCAAGATGACTGAGTGGTAAGCAGCACAGAGGTCATAGCAATGGGTATGGCACAAAAATGTGAACACAATAGAAGTGCTGAATTTAATTGCAGAGAGCCCCAGCACCATCTGTGTTCTCCCAGTACTGCTCTGTAATGGCTGCAGCAGCGTGTTTTGCCGATCAGATGTTACAGTAAAAACATGACAAAGTACTAGCTATGCAAGGAGTCTCTGGTTACACAGCCTGATATGTATTTAAACAAAGACTGTATTTTTCTTCTTTGTAATCTTCTTGGGAAAAGGGATGTTTCTGATCCAGGAGCTAGATTAAGACTTCAGCAATACAAATTCTACTCCTGCTACATATGTCTTTGTGTGATCTTAGATAACTTCCTCTCAATACAGGAATTTGGGTTAGTTTCAGTACTGCAAAGATAAGTGGTGATAACTGCAAGTTGCTGTATGCTATATGGCAAAGGACTCGTGTAAATAAGTTAATGGTAAGTTTAATATTGTTTAAAAATGTTTTAAAACTCCTACAGAGATCTACGTTGCCTGCGCCTACATTAACAGCAAGAGTATATCCACAGAGCAGAACAGTGCTGAGGACTTGACACCAATTCAAGGGAGTTCACACTGGACTAGCTCCAGTTTAGTCGCATGGAGTATATTCCCATGGACAGCTGGAGTGCATTAGGTATGCTCTCTGAGTGCATCTTTTCAGCATAGCTTCAGCTGAAAGGACGAGTTTGCCTTCTCTGAGACACAAACCAAAGCCTGGTAAGCAGACAAGAAATTTATTCCAGGAGCGCACTTGCAATTTCAGCTAACATAGTAATGAGCCCCCTAGGAATGAAAACATGGATCTGAATCAATATGCAGACATGATTCCTCCAGACCTACTAGTGAAATGCTGTCATGAAGGTTCCCTTGTTGAATAAATGAGACCACATTAGCTGAAGTCTCAGCGCAGACACATTATGGAGACACCAGACGCAATGCCCTCCTGCAGAATGATCCCTCAGAACTACTACAGCTACCGTAACTCAAAAGTATAAGTTGAGGCTATTCTAGTTCTGTGCCCCTCAAATCAAAGCGACATAAACAGCATAGTGGCTTTTCAACTTTTGAGCAGGAATTCAAAAAATACAAACAATCAGCCCTCGCTACCAGAGCACAGCGTGACTCCAACCTACAACACTGCTTTGTACAGTGAGTAAACGAAGTGGCTTTTAGGCCTCTGCTCATCTTGGGAGCACAAATTAAGAAGAGCCAAGCAGTCAGTGTAAGTCATGCCAGCTTCTGTGGTAACAGAAAAGAGAGACACAGAAAAGATTATCACACTACCATAATAAAAAATATTATTAGCTCCTGGTGCAGCCACAACTTCAGTGATGCATAGTGTTTTGCTGTCCTCACCTCATCAAGTTATGGGAGCGCCAGAACAGATTCACCACAGGGTGAAAAAAAAGGTGGTCAAAGTTACAGGACAGCCTCCGTACAGAGACTAATGGGACTATGTCTCTTAACTCACCAGATGGCACCATTAGTTTTCCAAGTAGAGACAACTATGGTAGAGGTTTATAAAAGTAATGAAAAATGTGGAAAAACCACAGTAAATTTTGATCTATTAATTCCCCTAACAAGTGGGCACCCAATGAAATTATCAGGCAGCAAATTTAAAACAAACAAAAGGAAGTACTCCTTCACAAAGCTCGTAATTAAATTGAGGAACTCATTCCCACAGGATGCCATGGAAGCCAACAACATAAAAGAGTTCAGAAAAGGTTTAGACAAATTCATGGAGGATATGTGCACAGACAGCTATCAGAAGCAATGATCCAGACGCAGTCTTGGGCTCTGGAAGTCCTGAAGTTATTCACTTCCAGAAGTGGAAAGGATATGCAAGGGAAGACTGTACACTAGGCTTTTCTTGTTTCTTGAGCTTCCCCCCTAAGCATCTGCTAAAGGTCACTCTTAAAGACAAGACATGGGGGTGGAAAAAAATGGCCTTCTAGGTCTGTCTTATGGTTTTAATTTATATTGAGCTGTGTCTAGATACTCATTTTACTGACATGCTGTGTATAAAGTAACACATGAAAAAAAATGATTTTCATCTGAGTCACTGACTCAGTTCACCGTGTTCTATAAGCCCTATAATTTTTTAATTTGCCCACTCTTTTATGTTACTGTAAAGCCAAGATGACAAAAGCAGGTAAAAGTAGAAAGGGGAAAACTTACAGAGTTGCAAATGGTGTTCCAAGGAGGAATGAGAAGCTGATGTCACCAGGGAAAAAGCCTTGACATTATTAAAATGGTACCCCAAACTGTACAAATGTCTTTACAGAGAAATAAAGATATCATCAGCGCCCTGAAAACTTTACCTTCTGGAACTCAGACAAGCATTAACAAGTAAGAACAAAGGGGGCCAAAGCTCCAATGTCTATATTGTCCTGCGGCCTCATTAGTAATTTGAGTGCAAACAATACTTAATTTCCAATTATCACGTACTGTACATGCAAGATGCTGTGGGCAAAGACATATGCTACAATGACCCAAGAGGAGATAACAAAGATGAGAAGCCTGCATGTATCAACAAATGACCTAGAAGAAAGAACATTTCAGTGGGAAACATAAGATTGCAACATACATGGAAATAAAGATGCCAAAAAAAAAAAAAAAAAAGCTCTAGTTGGGAGGGGTCATACACATTATAAGGAAGAAAATTTTCAGGTTGGTCTGAGGCGAGACTGCGAACAAGCAAACATATGTGGGAGCTGCCAGAGGGAACACAGAACTGGCACGAGCTGGAGAACTATCGCCAGGCTGTTGAAAACGAGCGCCTTACACAGACATTTGTTGCACTATTGCCCAATGAATACAAGTAGTGACATGCCTAACTATTTTTGAAATGCTGACGCCACAGCCATGCTCCTAAAATAAATAAATAAATAAATAAAATAAAGAAACAGAGCTGTATGTAAACTCCTGTCTTCCAGTATCAACTTTTTTCCAGAAGAATATGACGATGATCAGTAGTTTTGAAAATCACTCCCACTGAATAAGAAGCAGTATCTCTAATGTTAGTGCATTCTGCTATGGACACGCAGGGCAGAAACAAAGTATGCAAAGTGACAAGAAACAGACTGAAAAAATCTGAAAGCTTTCAGCAACTTTTGACGAAACAAGCAGTTTAGGAACTGGATGAAGGAATATAGAAGATACTACCTGCACCTAACGCCAGTCAGTTACATCAGAAGATGCAGGGACTTACAGAAGGAGAAGACAGGGAATTTATCTCACCCAAAGCTTAGCGGTAATCTGATTCCTGAGCAAGGGCAAAGATGTAGGGAAGGACTGCAGACCTAACCGGATAAATGACTGTTTTTTCAAACGTGAAAAAAGTTTCTAGGAATGAAGAATGCCATCATGAATCTACATTTTGGATGTCAGCAAGCAAAGGCTAAAGTAAGAATCACCAAAAGTCTACCACATAATATAAATTATGTAAATAGTAAAAATGTCTTGAGATAAAACATGTGAAAAGGTTAGAGATACTACAGTGACCTTGACATGAGACTTATATATAACACTACTCCAAAAGCAAATTAATATTTTGGTTCTTCAGTAAGGATGATACTGAGAATGGGGTGAAAAGGCAGAATAAGAGTACAGAAGTTACTGTGAGATACAGAACTGAGACCTTAAAAACACTGAAAATACTTGAGGCATAGAGTAGGGGCAAAAAACAAGTTGATCATATCCATCACAGAAATACCAAAGAACTTGTGCAAGTGGCTGTCAGTCCCATAGCAATGCTTTTAATACATCAAGGGAGAGTATCACATCACTGAAACCTGTCAGAGCAAACAGAGTCACTGCAACAAAAAATAGGAAGGACAAACTATTCTGACACCAGCAGATCCAGGCTGCTCTCAACAGCAGAACAGCCAATGCAACAACCTTTGGGTGTAATATGAGGAATAGTCTGTAAAAGGGAAATAAAATACAATACAACATGGATATACATCCATTAGTTGGCACTAAATTAAACTAGTAACTTTCTCTGACAAATGTATTTTATAGGCAAAAGAAATATCAATCTCTACTCTCTGGGCTTCAACAAAGTATCTGGCATAGCACAAGGCAAGTAAGTATTGTCAGTCTGGGGAAAACAGCACAGTATGAAAAATCTAGGGTGGGCAAGCAAAGAAGAGAAGTTGCACCAAGAGGGGAAATTTTTGCACAGAGGGAATTTATCAGTAATGATGCTCAAAGATTATTTTGATATAAACATTTTGATTATAAACATTTTCAGCTGGGACAGTGGCATTTACTGGATAAACACCAAGATGAAATAGCTAGCAACATGTGATGAAGACATCATCAGAAGAGACAGGGTCAGAGTATCACTCAAGAATTGGATGATCTTAAAGGCAGGAGTGGGGAGAAAGCAAAATACTAAGTATAACAAAATGGCACTAAAGACAAAGGCAGCTCCAAAAAAGAGGAGCAGACTTACTTCCAGGGAGAGGGGAAGTATTACTGCTATCAAACAAGGCGCAAGAGAAAGTCCATCTGGAATAAAACATACAGTTCTGGTTAACTGAATTCAAGAAAGATGAATCAAAACTGGCCTGGATGTACAGAAGAATTAGAATGAACACAAAAAGAGAGCTTGTCTTCTGAGAGCCTTGGGGAAAACAAAAGCTGAGAAGGGTTGTGACTTTAAATACATCCAAGCTATGTAAAACAAAGGACGACGCTGGCAGGAGAACAGACATAAACGGGTCTTAAGTTTAAACTGGAAATCAGATGTTTTCTAGCCATCTAAGGAATGATGTTCTGGAGAAGTCCTCCAATATGAGACAAGGCAAAAAAATTAGATTTAAAGTGGAACTTGACAAATTTCTGATGTCTGCTGGAACTGTCTCAGTGGTTCCAGAGTTGTTTTTTTTGTTTTGTTTTGTTTTTTTCCTTCCTCTCCAGGATTGTTCCTAAACAATGCCAGAAGTCCTTAGGAGAAAACTGAAAACACTTTCCCACATCCACATGTCCCAGTAAGTGCTTCTTTGGAGCTCACAATTTCTTTCACACTGTGTAGAGCAATTAACTGCATGGTCGGAAATTTGGATGCAGTGAGCACATCCAGTGTTTCCTGTCACTACAATGTAAATGTTTATGAGAATTAAGTGACAAAAGAATTGCAACTTGAGCTAAACAGAAACTTAAAACTGACTTGGCTTTCAAAGATACTAACAGCGTACTGTTTCCAAAATGCAGCTGGAAATTTTGAAATCAAGCCACTTGGATTTATGTACGTACATTCAAGCAAACCTGATGCTAATATAAAAAAAGGCAGAAAACTTCCCTAACATTTTAAATCAATTGTGATTTAAATTGATTATGATTTTATTATCAGCCTCACCAGTTATGTTCTGACCATCTACTATCACACAATTTGTACACAGCATTAGTATCTCTGGCAGACTTCTCCCAAGAAGTATCTGCTTTCCTCTGGTGTTTGCATGGATATAAATTGAAATACTTGTCTTCTATGCCACTGAACTTTCTGGAGTTGTAACAAAATTGTTTTAATACGTTATGAACGTCTTATTACAACTAGTATAATGGTTCATCTTTACCCGTATATTTTTGAACCTATGAGACTTATTTTCACCTTTTATCACATTTTGAGATTAGAGCCATTGAATATAAATTTCAGCCAGATCTTGCAGTCAGATCCACGTATACAGATCTTCCAGCTGCACAAACTCCTTGCTGAGTTTAATGGGTCTGCCGGCATGTGTAAGACCTGACTTTATGGCTAAAACTGCAAGCATCAGGTCTAAAAATCTAAAGGTAATGCTTTTGTGAACAGAAGAAGTGTGGAAATGACCCATCAGGTTTTGCGAGCCTACGCACTCTGCAACCACACACCACTTCCCAGCTCCTCGTCTTCTTTATTCATCCGAAACGATCCCTCTGGTTGCATGGGAGCTTTCCTAGAAGAGCAAGAGAGCTGGATTTTCGGTTCGCATTTCATGACATGCCCTTATGCTGTAACACGGCATCGGGAACAACTTCGTGGCGGGGGCACCAGGCAGTGCAGCAGCAGCCCTCGGGTGCCAGGAGGGGCACGAAGGGAGGCAGATAACGACGCCGCCTCCTCCCCCCGACCCTCCCCAGCCTCCCCGGGGACCCCCAGCCCCTCACTCACATTCTTGGTCTCGTTCACCTCGTTCCTGCCCTCCCCCAGCACCTGGCCCTCGTACACCAGCAGGCAGCCCACGGGCACCTCCCCGACCTCCAGCGCTCCTCGGGCCTGCGGGGGGGACACAAACGGCGGGGGTGAGCCGGGGGGGGGGGGGCAAGGAGCACACGGATCCCGGCCGCCCCCCCGGTGTCCCCTGGCACCGACCACGTCGAGGGCCCGCTGCATGAAGGCGAGCCGCGTCGCCTCGTCCTCCATGGCGGCCCCGGCGGAGCGCGGCGCCGTTTTCCGGGGGACGCCCGGCGAAGGCACCGCGGGCGGAGCCGGGGCCGCCGCCACCGCCGCCGCCTCCTCCCCTTCCGCCGCCGTGGGGAGGCGAGGGGCGGCCGGGCTGAGCCGATCCGAGCAGGGTGGGCAGGATGCTCCGCTCCCTCTGGAGCTTCCTCAAGCGCCACAAGAAGAAATGCCTCGTCCTCGGCACCTTCCTGGGCGGTGAGGGGTTTGCCCTGCGTGGGGGGAGGAAAAAAAAACAAAACCCAGGGAGCCTTCCCGGGTCGGCACGGGGTTTGGAGGGGTGCCCAGGGGTTAAATATTGGGGGCTGAAGTGCCCCAGCAGCACATCTCGGCTCTCAGCTTCTGCCTGAGGTGAGGGCTCCCGGGGAGGTGGCTGGGTGTACTGCTGGCTCCCCTCGTCTCTTGTGGCCTCCGCATCCTCCTAGCACGAATTCCTTGGGTCACAGGCTAGCTGGTGGGTGCTGAAAGCAGCCCTCGAGCAGCTCTGCCCCTTCTCCTGCAGGCTTTCTGGCTCTACGAGTAGAGCAGAAAGTGATGTTTGCTGGCTTCTGAGCCACCCTGCTTGCAGGTGTACCGTGATGTGCCAGGCTGTAACCTGGAGGCTGTGCCCTCTCCCCTTAACCACCTGTGTGGGACTGCCAGCTGGGCAAAGGGGGCCAGGAAAAGCACAAGTTGTCCTGGGCTGGATGGGAAAGCAGCTATCATGGGGCTGATGGCTCTTGGTAGTCTTGATAGCCTGAAATCCTAAATTCATCACATGTAAGTGGCCTTCTGCCAGCTTGGGAACCATCCTAGTGTCCCTGGGCTTGCAGCTTTTTGCTCGCCATGGATGCTGTTCAGGTACAGTTTGGTACAAGTGGCACTGACGTGCTGCTGACTGCATGAAGTACACTGAAAAGTAAAAATTTGGGACTCTGAAGCAAATTGGAGCAACCATGAGCAGGAGAACATCGTTAGCTGCCATCAGCTGCAACTTGCACCATAATATTTTAAGGCAGCTCGGGAGATGGAGGGGTTTACTGCAGAATGCTACACTTGTTTTGCAGCTGAATCACAAGTGCTTTGGCCATCTGAATGTTAGTTATGGATCTGACCCTAATATAACTCCAGGAGTTGTGTCACTGCTAATGAACGAGAACCCCAGAATCCACAACTGATTCTCCAGAAAGTACTGCTTAATCCTGAAAAGTAGAATGCAACTTCACCCAATTGCTTTTATTTAAAGACAGAATATTCCAAACTGGCTGAATGATGTGAGAAAAGCAACCTAATAGTCTGCTGATAAAATGTCAGAGAGTGGATGCTACGTCTATCTGATGTGTTTTTCTTAAGAGCTGTAGTTGCAGTTTCTGGGAAGGGGGATGTAACAAAAGAAAATGGGACATCACAAGCTTAATGATTTTAAGTCTTTAACTGGCAAGTGTTCAGAGGTTGATGTGCATATTTAATTATTCATTAGACAACACAGGAGAATCCCTACATTATTACCGGTACAATGTTTTATCAGTATTGCATTACTGAAGGATAACAAACATCTGAGTTGGTTGGTACCTTTGCCTCTGCTTACAAATTCCGTGCGCATTATCAGTGGCTGTTGCTCTTAATGTAATTTCTGTGACTCCCAACACTCATATCTTCATAAACAGAAAAATCTGATGCAAAACCCATGAGATAAGAGCTCAAACTGATGGAAAAGCAAGTGAACTGTGTGTAATTTTCCCTTTGATTAAGAAGACCTCAACTTTGCGAAGATCTTAGACCCATTCTTCAGGGGTTTGTTCTTTTAGCAAGAACATACTTGAATCTCTTCCAGCAGGTAAAGGTCTAGTGTTCAGGATTCAGAAACATTATTTAAAGAAGAGAGAGAGTTAGCGTGTCTTGAGTTCCGAGGATGTGATAGATTTACTTGTTCTTGATGGATGGGTAGATTTAAAGTGGCTTATATTTCAGTGCCCAGCACTGAAGGCAAATTAACATGAATACTACAAAATGATTCACTGGTTAAATCCTCGTTGCCTTAGAAGAGCAAGTTCAGCGTGTTCGAAATGCATGGTTCTGATTTCAGTGGTGAATGAGCTGTTACTCAATTTCATCTGTTGCAACCTTCAGCTTGCAGAAGGAGCATTTCAGTTCAGATGCCTGCCTGCTTGCCCAAGGCAGTTGTGTTGGCTTGTGAGCGAGTGAAAGGGCATTACGTGGGTTTTGGTAGAAGTCACTGGTGCCAACAGAGTAAGGCTTTGGTGCTTTCCTATTTTATATATAATCTTTAACCATAATGAGATGATTGTATATCCGTTGATGCATGGTCTGCTCGAAGAAAAGAACAAATGACAACTTCGGGAGCTGTTGATGTTCAGGAAGGATCCAGGCTTCTGTGCGTTTTCATTTCTAAATAATGAAATTCTTGGGGGGGGGGAGAGGGAAGAGGAGGGAGATATGGCAGTGAGAGTAAAGTTTGCACATGGTTGGAAGGAGATTTCCTGAAACTTGGTGCCTCGCAGTTACTGGTTCCTCTCTTCTGCTCACCTTTCCATCCCACCTGTGAAGAAAGGAAAGGGCTGAGGGAGAAAGTCATAATTTCTGCGATGTAAGAGAGATCCCACCTGTTTGAGGCCACTGACATGAACACGTGAGAGCTGGTGGATTTTGTAAGCTGCTTCCGTTACTTATGTTTGGATGGGAATTAACCATACAGCAGTGATAATTATCTCAGTTCGCTGCTGAGAGGAGAATCACAGTGTCGCTTCTCAAGGAGATGGGCATTGTAGACCCCAAATATTCATGTGGTGTAGGACAGCCAATACAAATGTAAATGCGTTTCACTTTGTAGATCAATTTGAGAGCGATGTGAAGTGTAGTTGCAGGTCCTTACTGAGGCTCCAGTACCTGAATTCATCGATGCCAGCTGCTGTAATCCTTGTTTGTATTTTCCAAACTACGTGCGGTTCAGAAATGCTGGGACTATAGTTGTGTGTGTAGTTCATACATGAAGAAGAAAAAAAGATTTACATAGAAATTAGCCTTTGCGCAGTCTCATCATTGCTCAATTTTCTTTATTACTCCTGGTTCTGTTTGGGACATAGGGGAAAGGTACTACAAGAATTTCTATCTACACAACTATGTAGGTAATCAGGCATGAGTAAAGTGTTGCTGCTGATACTTTTTGCTGACCTCCCATCCCCTGCTGAGAGTACAATTGAGATACCTTATCTGTTGTAAAAAATTGGTGTTTCCTCTGTTCTTAACAGAGATTTTCAGCACGTCAGTTTAGTTTCTTACCATCACATTAGCTGATGTTGACTTTATGGCAGTTCTTAGGACGTGGCTTCCTCTGGTCCTGCTTCCAACTCTAAGCGATGGTATCGTCATGTAGTGCATTCAGCCTGGACTTCTAAGTCTTTATTATTTTCTAGTCTTCTGAATTACGGTTCTGTATACCCATACGGATACACACAGCAGTTCTACAGCAAAACATGAACACACACACAGACTCCAGGCTGGCTCTGCTACTGAGTGCAGGCAAGAGTGACCCCTGTGCAGGCATCCCTTGTCAGGGCTGGAATTTCCCAAGCGCTGTGTCAAGTCCTCCCAGCTGCTCAGGGGCACTGAGGAGAGCCCTTCCAAGCCATGCAGTTAGTAACAGACTCAGTTTGCTGCTCACATGCATTTTTATTTCTACTTTTTTCCTTAAGCTGGCTGCATGATGCAACTTTTCCCTTGGCTGGCTTCTAACGCGTTGTGTTCTCAAAGATGAAACAGGAGTGCGTGATATTGATTAATGATGGGTCAAAGTTACCACTTCGCTCTGGGCAGGAGGAGAGAAATGCAGCTGCTGCTATCTGGTGTTGCATCACTCGAACAGAGTGGTGTTTTTTTTTTTTTTTCTGGAAACTCCTTGTTATACCTGGGCGGCTGCTAATGCAACTTTGGACCCTGGTGAGACGCAGCAGTTGGTAGTGCAGAACACTCACACCAGTTCAACAATCAGCTGTTAAGCAATTAGCTGTCTCAATCTTAATTATAAAGGTACTGCTCCAGCCTATCTCTCTAGGGCATGCACATGATTCTTCTTGAGTTGTTTTGCTTCATATGGTCTCATGACTGCCTGTGCCCTGCATACATGCAAGAAGAGCCTTTTTTTTTATATATATATATATACCTGTGTAACCTTTCTGCCAAAAAAAATTGAGGTAAATGATTTATTTGGGGTGGAAAAATGAAGCAAATGTTGTCTTTTGGATGAGTGGTTTTGTCTGGATGCATTGGGAAAAATGAGGTTGGAAAGAAATGATTGGGAAAATATTGTTTTGAAAAACTTCGCTTATACTAAAAAAAAACCTAATTGTTGCTGGTTCAGTAAACAGCAAAAAAATAAACTCGGTACGCTGAAGGTCATGTCCGAGATACACATTCTTGTCAGGAATGGATTATTCTTTGGAGAAAAATAATTGTTAGTTTTGAAGTCTCGTTTTGGTTAGCAGTTTCCAGGGGTAAAATTGCACTTAATGTCTATGGAGCCGTAATATTGAAGTTTGTGTCTAATGGGGCAAATCTTCCACTTCTGACAAGTGGTCAGTCTGCCGAAAGGTTGAGGCAGGAGGGACTGATTTCCACTTCTTATTTTTGAGGCTTTGGGGAAATAAATGAAAGTGATTGCGGTTGTTTTGAACTGATCTGGTTTGCAGTTGCGTATTAGGAAGCATACTACTGATACAAATTACCAAATTTATTTTTTTTGTGACTGTAAATATTAGGGCACAGAGCTGACAAGGCTCCTGAAATACTGGTGATAGTTCTGGCGAACATATTGAAAGGTTTTAATGATCTAAAAATGTAGCTGAACTCAAAATCGGGGGTGGTGGTGTAAAAATAGTTCTACAACTCCCAGGGTTCAGTAACTGTTACAAGCCTCCTTCATTCAGATAATAATGTTGGATCTAGAAAAGTGGGCTTCAGACTGTTTATGACTCCTGAAAGTGCTTGGTGGACAAAAAGACTCAATTTGATACTCAGGTTTCTTCTGTGTAGCATTATCAACTTGAAAGAGTTGGATGTGGCACGCTGTGGAGGGATG